AAGCAGTACAGAGTAACTCTGCACTTGACACCTTTTATGTACGATATGACCTGTACGACGCTGCAGTGCTGGCAAACGTTCAGCTGGCTCAGAGCCGACTGCACTGCACTCACATGTGCTGCCTGTTTACTCACAGGCAGCATATGTAAATGGTGAATGTGCTCGTACAGAGTACGCCTCTCTGAGTTGTAAAAAAAGCTGTCAAATGCAGGGTTACTCTACACTTCTACAGTACGGTAGGCCCAGGACGGCGACCTCGTAACCGGCCTATAGTGCGGTTCCCAACTTGCCATCATCTTCTTCTCCATTCTCTTTATAAAAGGAGAGATTGACTCATTATCATTCACGATTTTTAGCCGAGTGGCGGCCGCTATATACGTTGCTTCGCACGCCCACGGCACCACCTACAGGAATTTCACAGTGCGTCAAAAGTGGGTTGCGCATACGCTGCGTGACACGCGAAGATGGCCGCACGTTAGGCGTCCCGTAATACCGTGGTCAACGGCATCGGCACATTATTACAAAGCATACTACATGCAGCATAGGACAAAAAAGACGCATACCGCCATAACCCCACACCCAGATATCCGTACGCACGTGGCAAGTTTACTTGTACGACAACCGGATATTTCAGCTGAGCCGTACAGCGCACTGCGCTGCATGCGTTCGGAATGCAGTGGGTGGGATTTTGCGTCTTTTTTGTCTTAAGCTGTATGTACACTTTTTATATCAGGCATATGTCGCTTTACTGTTAGAGCTTAATTTTCTGTTGATTTTCCATGTACGGTATTAATTTTGTCACATTAGTAAGCATAATAGTGCGCGAACTCGCGTTGTTTAAAGACAGCAAGGAAAAAGCACGCGTTGTTGTGATCGTGAAGTTGTGTGACGACGTGATGACAAATTGACAACCCTATTGCGATGTCCCTATGGGCTAAGATGGCTCGTGGTGCCATATGTTGCTTTGTGTTGCTGTATTGGGCGTCTCTTATCGTAAGCATTTCCAACCGTCCCGAGGCGCCGTGTCGCTGCAAATCAGAAATTAACATCTTCAGTTTTTTTTTCTAAAAAAACGTAAAGGCACTCACGTACCTGAGACTCTTTTGGACACTTTGTACTCGTATGCAAAAGCTCACCCGTGGAAGGTTCCCAAATTCACAGTCTAAACATTCGGAAATACTAATTCATTTGTTAAAATGTTTTCTTTAAGTTTTGTTCAGTCTTCGAGTAGAGTGATTCTGCAGTGTTGGCGCCGCATTTAATGTATGCCGATAATGCCACTGGCCGAAGTCATGGATGATGGCTTACTGGACTATAATATGCGTGTGTAGGTCTGTTACGCACACTATTACCGTTACACTGTTACACACACACGCACTATTATGCCATTTCATTTGGCTTATTTTTGTCTGATTCGTATTTGCCTTGGAATAATAATAATAACGTCGATGCTGCCTGCACGGGTGTCTACACGGGTGTTGGCTGCGGCCTGCGTGCACGGGTGTCCATGGAAGTTAACAAATAAATTTCATACAAATTTAAAATAAATAAACTATCCGTGCACGCACCTAGAGCTCCGTGCAGGAATCCCGCTCTCCCAGCCAACACCCGTTCCAAAACTCCGTGCCCACAGCCAACACCCGTGCACGCAGCTATAACCTTATAATGTAATAATAACAAGAACAATAATAATATTCATACACAATGCGCACGCCGCATTTATTATTACCTTTTTCCATCGCGATAACGACTGAACCGGCCTGAGGCAATCGAAAGTTTACCGTGCTTTTGGATGCACTAAACACGTCTACTTCAGCATTTATACAGCAGCAGCACACTGGAAAATTATACTAACTTTTTAATAAAATTACTTTTTCGCTTATCCGGGTTTGTGAGACTGTAAGGTAATCGTGCTAGGCAGAAAAGGCTGTTGAACGCTTGGCACTTTAAACCTTTGCAGCCTTTTTGCAGCTTGATGCGTTGTAATGCTTGATGCTTGTTCGTAAGACGTAAAGCACAGAGTACGGTAATTCCTGGATTTTCCATTCATCATTATCATGACCAAAGCAGACAGCGATAATCGTCCCCTAGGTCTCTCCATAAAACGCCACTCGACGTCCATCATTTCTTCGTCATCCAGCGAAATCGTCCAGCTCCTCACGCGCGATAAATGCACGGCCGGCATCCCTGTTTAACCTGCGGTATCGGTTTCTCCCCACTGAAAACACTCCACGCCCATCTGCAGTTCTAGTGCGCCACGAAACCCACCGCCGATACCTTCACCAAGCCCTCCACCACGGTAGCACCCAGCGTCAAGTCCGAGCCGGTGACAGAACGCTCGGTCACGTCCACCAGTACGACGGCCAGCCAATCAGCGCCCGCCGAACCCAAGTCTCCCATTTAAGCGGGCAATTTTGTTCGCTCGACGCGTTCCGCGCCAACAGCCCTCGCGGGCTCGACCCCGTGTACAGTGGCAACCGGTTTTATATTATTATGTAAAGAGTGGAGATTTTGGTACGGATTATGAAATTTAAAAGCTATTATTTCACAATAAATAGCGGTCTCCGTGGTCGTCAAATGGAATAGATGCCGGTTTTGTTTATGGTGTGCAAATGCGGTGAATAAAGACGTTTCGCGGCAATTACTTCATTACGACCTTGTTCTCCGGTTACGAACTGCAGTAACTACACTTACAGATTTCTTTTGCTACCTACTTATTTTCTTTCAAACACTTGGTAGTAAGTTTGAAAGTTCTGCACTGCAACGCAACAGATTATAAGAAAGTTAGATCGTCCCGTAAAGTTACAACGTCAAATGCGATAGAAGAGGGATGCGTACGCCAGCAACAACATGAGTTAACAAGCAGAATTCGAAACGAAGTATCGTCAAACGCTAGCACACAATTCAGACAAACTTTCAACCATGGACACGTTTCACTTAATGACAAAATTAACCAATTAACAAATTAATCTTAACAATCTCTATGTTAAGCGCCTGTTGGCGCTGCACCATCTGCATCGTCTCTATGGCCGTATGAACGGCCGGTCCGTTCAGCTTCAGAGTGAACAACGAGCGGATGGCTTCGTATATCTTGTCCAGTGACAACTCCTTCCCTTTGTCATCGCTCTGCATGGCGTCCTCCAGCAGCTGCTTTTCCTCCCGATACTGCCGCAACATGCGTTCGTAAGCCTCCATGGTATCCCGTCGGCCGCCAGCGGCGATGACCTCTTTTTCCTGCGAAATCATGTAGTGCAGATACTCCTCTACCGCATCATTGTACGGGATCATGGCGTTCTTCTTCAGGAAGCAAGCGAATTTCGCTGTCACTTTCCGAATAGCGATTTCCTCGCGTTGCAAATCCGATTTACGCTGGCTGAGATACCGCAGAAACTGCTGCACAGCCGCGATATCCCCATCTTTCTGCTGCAAAAGCTCCTGCCACGTTCATCCACTACTGGCACCTCCTTCTCACTGGTTTCGTATCGGTAATGTGCATATGCTTCTCCATGAGCAGCTACACTCTCGGCATGCTGTACACCATTCTTGGAGTTCTTCACGGCACTTTTCGCAGGCCAGGATGAGGATATTGTTCCTGCTCTATTTTTTTGCAGGTTACAGGGACTGTGGCACACCTACAATTGAAATTCAAATAATGATGAACCTTTCTGGACACGATGAAAAAAAAATTAAAACGATGGAAGTGAGTTCGGAGTTTATTGGCCGAATGACAGCCGCGTCTGGATACGGTACCGTACGGTTTAGGCTGGTATATTTAAGGCCAATGAGTGTTGTTTACGCATATCTACACACACTCGGAAACGGTAAGCCGGCTGCTGAATCAGCGGGACGCCGTTGGCTGTCATTCAAATGTGGGTACTCACTGGGTGGCCATTCATTCCTTCGATTACATATTGATTTATTAAATGACTACTACGCTAACAAAGATCCATGAAGATTACTGGTTTAAGTTGTATAACGTCAACCTGCAGCGTCGTTCTCCTGCAGCCCACGTTTTCCAATTCCACATCTGCTATCGATCACATCATTCCGTTAATAAGCCGGGATGAAGAGGCGAGGTGAGCTGAACAGCTAACGCTGCGGTTCCGTTCTGCGTCGGGATACTAGCACGTTCGGTTGGATCAGACGCTGACATAGGTTTTTGGAGGAGTATGGCAGAGAAATTCGCTTACACTGACAGTTTATTTTCGTTCAACCGACCCACCCTTGCCACCCCCATCCAAGTAATTGAAACTGTGTTCCTCCAATGGTTACTGTTTCCCATGGTGGAAAATAGTTTTATTTACCTGGATTGTGGAAACCGCAGTTGTCACTCTCTGTAAGAACCTAATGTTGTAAAGCCTATTCAATAGTTATAGCTTATGCTAAGTGTTGTCATAGCCGAATCGAGGAAGACGCATTTATACCGCCACAATACTTCTACCGATGAAGCGGAAAGACGGGAATCGAAAACAAAATTTGGGCGGCCATTTTCATCTACGTCTTTATTTCCCTTATGGATAAGTATCTATTCTTGGCATGCCGCCAAAAGCCTGCCTTGATGGAGACTTGTGCTAATCATTTTGTTTAAAGAAACGGGACTTTTTGATATCTGTTAGTGCCGTATCAAATTTGATACGGCACATACGGCACTAAGTTCAAAGAGAAAGTCTGATTGCTGATTATACCATGTATGTTTTAGAAGAAATGTGGAATACTTGGGTGTTATGAGCTTCGTGGACGGAGGAGAAAACACGCCGCGTAATCTGTGAAGTCAATTATATTCCTAAAAATTGTCAGACAGTTGGACAGCGAAGCCACAACGAAATATCTGGTACAGTACACAAGATCACCAATTTCTATATTCACAACGCTGACCTCAGACGAAATGTTTACACTTTATACTGTGAAAAGCTTATAGCGTCAACAAAAGAGCGACAAGCAGAATTCGAAGCCAAACATTGTGAAATTCTAGCAAAAGTTTGACAGTTCACACAGCATGGAGAAAGAACAACCTCGAGACTCAAAAACCCCATCAGCGCACAAATAATTAAAAATGATGGCATCGTCGTTTTGGCTGGCGACCTATTAGACAAAACTGTATTATTTTTACAACAAAATTGAGCCAACATAATATTGAATAATGGCAACACTACGCCTCACCTCTTTCAGAATCCTCTGCGCGTAAATGGGATCCAGAATTTATCCAGCAGACCGCGCGCACTGTACGACGACACCGCTCCCGGAGCACGAAACATCCGCTGCGGCGGCGGCACACTATAAGGAGAAAAGCGGGAGAATGGCCGTGCCGGTCCCATCGGACGCAGACTGCCGCGAACATTCGCAACGCGTGCCGAGCATACGATGTCGTTGTGGTGCACCTGCTGGCGCTGCACCGTCTGTATGGTCTCCATGGCCGTACGGATCTTTGGTCCATTAAGCTTCAGATCGTATAGCGACTGGATGGCCTGGATGATCTTATAAAAGGACAGATTCCGCCCTTTATCATCACTCTGCATGGCGTCCTCCAACAGCTGCTTCTCCTCACGATACTGCCCCAGCATGCGCTCGTAACTCTCCAAATGATCCCGTCCACAGCCCACGGCGATCTTCTCCTTCTCCCCGGCAATCAAGTAGTGCAGGTACTCTTCCAATGCGTCATTGTACGGGATCATGGCATTGCGTTTCAGGAAGCAACCGAATTTCGCCGCCACTTTACGAATAGCTACTTCTTCGCCTTGTAGCTCCATTTTGCGCTGGTTCAGATCCTGCAGAAACTGCTGTACCGCCTCGATCTGCCCGTCGCGCTGGTGCAGAAGATCCTGCACCCGTTCATCCACTTCTTTCACCTCCGTTTCATGAGTTTCATAGGTAATATGCATGTGCTTTCCCCATGAGCAGCCACACCCCCGGCACATGCCTTTCTTGGACTTCTTGGACATCGCACTGCATTTCTGTAGACCAGGATGGGGGTACCGTTCCTGCTGGATTCCATGTAGGCCGCAGGGACTATGGCACACCTAAGATTGAAAATAAATTCTAGCCGTTGCAAATGGCGTAAATGGTATTTGAACCAAATTCGTGTACATGAACGAAAACTTTCACTTCGCACACTCCCAACAATTCTTTGCTTTGTTTTCGTGACATTCTGTAGCCAGATGATTTGCATACATAGGCGTAAAAGCCTTTTGGGCGAGCAACATCTGGTTCGGGAGTTATGGCTATGAAAATTCCAAAACGTTTAAATGCATTCCGGGGTACAAACATGTACACGAATTTAGTGCCATGTACCGGGCCCCTTCTTTAAGAAATTTCAATATCTTTGATACCTATTTGAATGCCTCATCGAAGCTTTCAAGTGGAGCTAACAATGCGCTCTTCGTTTGATTTGCTGATTGCTACTGTAATAGTAAGTTACATTACTTTGAACTTTAATTTAATCTGACAATAGCCCATACCATATAACATAACAGGTTTACTCTGGTTGACACTAAAGCCGTCAAACTAACAAAAAATTTACAATAATAAAAACCAAAACTCGTCATCGTTTAAACTTCGGAAGCTCAGAAGGGATTCTTGACAGCAGTTTAAACTTGCAAAATTGTTTTATAATTGTAGTTTTTACCCCTCAATGTTTCAAAATAACGTTTCTTTTAATTTTCTTTGAATTTTTTATTAGACGGTATGCAGGGCCACAGGTGGTTTTGCAGAGATTGCAAAGGAATCCAAGGTGGTCTGAACGATTACCGAAGGAGCCGAAGGTGGTAGAAGACTTCACAGAAATAAAATCTTCAGAAAACCCCTTTTATCCTGTGTTTTATTTCCGTCGAAAACGCTATGCTTTCGGCCATGGATGACTTCAACAAGCCTGTCAAGCCATATCTCGCTCACTTTTATCATTGATCAAACGCCTTTCGTCAGATCTTCATTAAGTCTTGCGATTGTTTTGCTCAGCACTCGTTTGTTATGAAAGTGTTATATTTAAATAAAAACTTCATCATGTCGATCAATTTAGACTTGTGCAAGCGTATTGATCTGTGCACTGGCTGTTGTCGAATAAAAGTGTACAGTAAATTTAAATAATTACTGGCTTTAATATTACTGCTCCTAAATAATTAAATACTGTTTTTTTGTTTGCTGTTTCTAAATAATTAAATAATTTCTAAAATAATTATTGTTTCAAAATTTTAATATTAATTAGAATAATTATTTGTCAGAGGCACATGACTGCGCCTGGTGCATACGGCCCACCATGGACGTACTGCACTCATGCTTGCCATACCGCCTCTCTCGCTGTACGTACGTGTGCTGCTGCACTGCACTCATACCCGCTGAAGCGGATATATGCGGCGCACACACTGAGCATACTTGCTCTCTCGTCCCTCTCTCGCTGTATGACTCAGCGTACGCTCGCGTTGGATTGAGTCCAGTCTGCGCATCATCACACAGCTGATGGCACACAGCACGTGCTTGCCGCCAGTTGCTTCTTTCACGCCTTGACGAACGCTCAAGAGCTCTTCTAGCATTCACTTGCTTGCTTAGCCATCAGTGCTTTGTTTTGCTTTCCCTGCTATTACGCAGCATTGTTCCCTTTATTTGTACAATAAAGCACACTCGTGATCTCCTCGCGCTTGCCTGTTACATATTTAATAATAATTTATTTTTAATAAGTACTTTTTCAAACTTTGTGTACTGTGTCGGCTGATTATGAAATAGGTAGTCCGATTCTGCAATCTAGAACCCGACGCCGCTCACCGTCCTGTAATCGACTTTCTTCCCCACCACTCGAATGCAGGACTGCGCGACGCACACCGTTCGCGGATGGTCCAAGGGAACAGTGATGAGATCCAGTACCGGCATGTACAGCTGCTGTGTTAATTGCTCTTTACTATAGCGATTCTGCTCGATCTCGTCGGCTTTCTGCTGGGCCATCTGCAGATTGGTCTGAATGTTCAGTGTGATGGCCGCCAACGGCTCCGTAAACGACAGAATGATCCGGCGTGCTTCGTTCAGTGAGATGGTATTCTGTAACAAAAATTTTAGTACTTTTTATTTATGTTCGCTCAGCGACATAACAGTCAATCAATCCACTACGGCCAATACTGCACAATCAAGAATTAAAAAAACAACCAAAATCACTGTTGTCAACAACTTTATTCTTTCCCGGTAAAGTTCCTAAAATCGCGGCCGCATTGCCTTTAATAATTGCAAGGCTAATGCGCTGCTTTAATGCGCTGCTTTAAATTCTGTAACATGTGGGGCGGGCGCTGTTCCAAGTATGTCAAGAGCCGCCGCGACTCCGTCACGGCCTTGTCATAGCTGTCATAAAAGTTCTGTCGGGATGCCGGGTCGAACTCGATACCGGATTTTGCAGCGGCTATAAATCGCATAGCTTCACTGTCAACGCAGTACACCGTGTCTCCGGTCAGCGGAATATCCGCGCCTTCGGGCCGATGCAGCAGTTCTTCCAGTACCGGCAATGTATCGCCCGGCTGGTACAGTGTGGAGCGCGCGTTGGTGAACACGAAGACGATGTTGTGGCGCGCGTCGACATGCAGATGGGCCAACAGCTCCTTAATGCAGAAGCGAAACATTACGGTCAGCCGGGCGTTGTTGGGTTTCAGCAGGATACAGATGCCGTGGATCTGCTCGTACTGTGCCAGATGCCGCATGATAGAAAATTTCAGGTATCTAAGGAAATCTAAAAACTTGAAGAAAATCTAAAAAACCTACGGTAGTAAACAGCCAAAGAAACCTGAAAAAACTTATTAACAATCTAACTTATTAACAATCTAAGTTATTAACAATCTTATTAACAATCTAAGTCTAACTAAACTTATTAACAATCTATTAACAACTTAGGTAATCCAAGAAACCAAGAAAATCTAAGGACTTTAAAACGCCTTGAAACTGACGAAAACCAAATTATAACTTCGGCAGAAAAGAACCCCAGGAACCAGACTGATTAGCAAGCTCTCTTGGTTGACGAACAAGTTTCTGCACCGAGTCAGGCAGTGAAGTTGCAAGAAATGAAATTATCTTTTAGTTATCTCTCGGCCAGCAAAGTTGCGCTAATTAGCAGTCTTAGCCGAACCGATTTCAAACGTTGATATTGGTAAAGTAGCCATACCCGGATCGGTGTCACCGTTTCCCCCTCCATCCAGCAGGTTGCCGCACAGTAGCTTCCCGTAGCGATAACGTTGGACAACACTCTGCGCGGGATGCACCGACGTATCGGGGCCGTGCAAGGACGGATCGACAAACACGAATCGCCGCTGACTGGGATCGGCGATATCCATGAAGCTGCACAGTAACTCCAGGGCGTCGGTGAATTTTTCGGGACGGTGGAGGCGCGCCTGCTGGCTGCTGTGCAGAACATACACATCCGCCACTTTCTCCATCTCCTGCAGGAAATCGGCCGGAATTTCGCCGAGGATCAGCACCGGAAGGTGCGCAGGATCTCCAGCAGCGCACTGCGATCGGTAATCGTCCAGGCGTCCACGGCCGCACTGTTGCCACTGTCCGGCATGGTGGAAGACCCCGCAACGGGATCTTGAGGAGCGCTGGCGCGGCGTCTTGTTTGGACCTGCAATTAGCAGCCACGCTGGAAATGACAAATTTCACGGGTTCACAAAAATAATGATTTCCTATTTTCCTTCTAAACACGTGGCATGCTTTCCGTGCCAATGTGCTATCATATGTTTACATGGTAGGAACTAAGAATACAAACACTGAACATCTGGGGTTTAAAAAGTTATAAATTATTAATGATGACTACGCTTGATGTATAGCAGTACACAACGCTAAACAAAGCTTTTACCCATAATAACCACAACGCTGTACAACAGCAGCAACCGTTAACGTCAAAACCAGAGGAATTTTTTAAGGGTTGTTTGAGGGATTTTGCGGATTTCAGGGCAATGGATTATTGTTTATCTTTACGGATCAAAAAAGAAAGAAACGTGAGGTATCGGTCAGAAACAAGAATTCTTAAAGGAACAAATCAGTAAACAACTTAAGGCAAAAAAAATCTGTTTAAAAATTAACTTTTTTTTGCAAATTATACAACAGTCTTTCCCTGTGTTCGGAGATTTACAATGTTTTTAATTTTGTGTTGAACTCGTACCATGCGTTGAAAAAACTCTCGAAGTTCCGACTCTCACGGTCTCAGTAATTATAAGAGGCACGCTCAGTGTAGGTTTCAATAATAAGCGAATACGCAAGAATAGTGTACTACGAAGAACTGCAAAATAATGATAAACGATGATATAAAATGCATAAATATAAGAGGCTGTAAGCCTGTAACCCCTCGGCAAAGGGACCATGGTCCCAGCAGCCAGAAAGTCTCGACGTACGGGTATAAGCTAATGCTATTATCTAATCTAATTGTAAGACTAATGGCATTCCAACCGCGAAGCAAAAACTTTAGGTCCCCACCAAACCGAAAAGCTCCAGCCGCCCCTAATTCTTAGTTCTACACGACGCTAATTTCGTTGTCATCGGAAAATCCAAAACTAATATCTGTACTGCGGTTGCAGTTATCCTTAGTGATTGTACCGTAAACATTGGCGGGATCTTGTAGTGCTCGCAAATTCTTTTCACCAAATCCTGTTTTCGATCTTTGCCACTAAAAGCCAGACCCAGATCGCTGCCGAGAGACTTCAGTTCGGTGACGGATTTCTGCATGATCTCCAAATGAGACGGAATGGCCTTTGATTCCATGGAGGACATCTTCGCAACTACAAAATACGCTGGCATTGGTTTGGGTCGATCAAGCTTAAAGCATCCCGTAGTTTTGATTTGCAGGTGGCTGTGATACAGCATTCAGCGACGACCTGTGCACGAAGATCGAGTTGTTCTTACCGTTAACTCTAGAGATTAAAATACATGCAACGTGGGTACAAGTGCAGTGTTGTATAAGAATACAATTCACTAAGAAAGAAACATACGCATACAAAAGAACCAGACTCAGCTGGAAAACAGAATTGTCAAGTCTTGAAGTTGAAATGAAATTTCCGTTCAGGGATGTGCGTCTACGAGCGCGCATACTCGTACAGTACTGCACTGGCAGTACTACCATACAGTATACACTGCGGAGTGGACGCAATGAAAAACGCGAGCAGGAAAGGACGCGCCGCAGCCAGACCAGTGCTTATCTTATCTGCCGGCGCCATCTGCTTTGACGGGCCAATGGTGGCCATAGTATGCTGTCACTATGCTGCATATGGAAAAATGACTCACGACAGCGGCTTTTATGTAGAATCAATTTAAATTAGCGGGAAAATCGTTGCTTCAGTCCTACAACTGTACCATGCAGGGCGCTTTTACGGTTTTACCGTAAGAAGCAGTCACGTTGACTTTGAGCATATTTTGTTTCGTCTCTCGTCGTTTAATCTTTTCATTTGGCATTGCATTAGTGAGTATAGTTAAATCATTAAATACTGCGTGCATGATGCATCTAAAGTACCTCACCACCACTTGCATTGTAAAGTTGAGCGTTAATTTTGTCAGATTACTCCACGTTAATATGTAATTCAATGCCGTTAAGGCATGGTTTCATACTGAGGCGAAGGAGTTCAAACTTTTTTTGTGCTGTTGAACTTATGAGCGACCTGCTCGCCAAATCGGTATGGACGATATTCGCCTCCCGCGGAACTGTAAGTAGGGAAATACTGCATGATATGGGGGGGGTTTAAATAATGATGGGCTTGCGAAGGTTTGGTCGACAATTTAAACGTATTCATGGATAGCTTCAGTGCCGGCTTCGTACGATGCAAAATAGCCAGTTTTACAGAAACGCGCGCATTTTAGGAGATTATTGATTTAGGTAATGAATAGTCTCAAAAAGGATGCGAATGCTTGCTGCTGACTGTTCACTTAGGCTGGATGCCTGGATGGTAGCTTCGACATGAATATATGAGCAATTGTTCAAGCAACTTGTGGAATATTTGACCTTGGTTTTTATGGTGCATCTCGTAACTCTGAAGCGAGTTACGCTTCAGAGTTACGTTATAACTCGATAACTCGAAAATAACTCGCGTTACGTTAAATAGTTAAAAATAATTGCACAGGTTCTGAAAACGACCTTTCGAGTAATACATTTCGTGACTACCTCAGTGCCTTATTGATTGTTACAGTTGGCGCGTCGGCATGATGTGTGTTGCCAGAGTTGGTGCGGATCCAGGTATACCGAGTACCCAAACCGGAACCAATCGATACTTGCTCTGAGCAGTTGCTCACATCGGGACACATCCCGTGTGTTATACAGGTTCGGTAGAGATATTGACATATAGATGATCTCATCAAAGCAGGCAATCTACTCTGCTCTAGTTTTATTTGTAAATGATAAAATCAGGTACTGTGCAGTTCTTGAGTTGTGACAGGCTGCATGGTAAAGTTCTTGAGCTGTGACAAGCTGCATGGTAAAATCCGATTGCTACGTTTCATTTTCCTGTTTTTTGTATGTATGACAAGATAGTGTGACCCACTGATCTCGAGACTGGTTTTCAAATATTGTTGTAGAAGTATTGCTCCTGCATCAACGATGGTGTCATCTGTGCACGGAATCGAGCATCATATGCATGTCCTGTCATGGAAATCGACATTCTACAGTTTGGTATGGAACTTCTCCGTTTTACAACTGGTGGCGACGTTATCGTCCGCTTGCCTATACATTGCGGAAGGTCAGATTTGGTCAATTTCCTTAATCTAATTAAAACTGTTACCATGGCGCGGTAAACATTTTTTGACCCTTTTCCGGATAGTTACTATTAGCAATTCTAACGCCATACAGTATCCGAAAGCTACTTCGCTGAAAGCCACTTCACTGTCTAACTTATGTATATTATGTAAACCAGCTAATTTCGGAATTGCACAGTCCCTTCTCATGTAAATTGGGACAAATTCTTCATTTGATTATAATTGTTGAGCGAAGCTCGCTTTGTACATATTGAGAAATAAAAATAATTTCGGATTATCTGACGCATAACGAGTAATATACTGGTAATGTCGAATTTGTTTTTATCGGTGCAGCGTAAACTGCTTTAGGGACTCAAATTAAAATAAAAATATTTTTTCAACGACGAAAAAGGAGTCGGCTATGTTGGGTATCTCCTGAAAATCAATTAACCGATTCAAAGTTGAACCATGGTACACTGTATTTAGCCGGATCTGAATGTTTTTTAGAGGTTCTCTACACTGGTAAGACTACTTCTGGTTCCGCGGCAAGTGAACGTAAGGCTTATAAGGGCTGAATGTTCTAAAGAGAATTTTCCCTGTGTTATAGGATGCGAGCCAGTTCCGTTCCTCACAGGTTGAATGTTACAGAGAAGCGTATTTAATAAAGAAGTGTATGTTAAGAGAGCTTTTACTGTACTCCAAAAAAAAACGGTTTGCGTCATGAACGTAATAGAAGAGGGACGTTTAATTTTCGTCTGATTTAGAAGCTAGTCCTACGCACAGCCATCTGGCCCTGGGATACGCCTTCGCCGTGTGGACGCTGCTGTATAATATCGCCGGATTGATCGGCTGTGGCTGGGGTTATAGACGCTACACCAACGGCCGGGAAGAGCTGCGCAACCACCGGGCACCGGGCTTTTGGGTCGGTAAAACCTACTTGGCCTGCATGGTCATTAACATGGCGGCCGCACTGGGAATCATCCTGCAAGCCGTTCTGCAGAAAGGGCAGCCCGATGCCATGCTGTTGTTAGGGACCGTGGCCTATGTCTTCCTCATTATCAACGGTGCCTGCATCGTAGTCACCGTTATTTCACTAAGGAAAGGTCACCTTCCCACCGCCCTTATTATCTTTTTCCAACGCCCGCGGTGCAATCGGGCAGACTGCATGGAGTTTAGTTTCATTAAGGATTACTACGACTGGACGGTATCCCTGGCTTTCGGGAAGCTGCTGCTAGGATTTCTGTTGATGCCGTTTGTGATCCTGAATAATCTATATGGTACGTATCACGTTCAAAAATTTGTGGGAAATGCGCATGACATTCCGTTGGTGATATGATGATTTACAATGAACAACATGTTTAAATGCGCAGTCGGTGCAGGAGGTTTTGCTGCATGGCAGGTTGTCGTGCAACAATTGGCCGTGGGACAATTCGTCACAGACAGTGGCTACTGACAATGGGGGCTTTCCGTCAGGAGGCAGTTATCGGCAGGACACTACGGAGCTTTCGGCTACTTTAAATTTTTTGTAGCGGCTAACAAACGTGTGACTATTCGTTGCCATATTATGATATGCACCACGCCTTCAGTGATCGACTCATAAAATTGAGTCATTACTAAATGCCTCGTAACCAAACGGTTGCACAAGAAATTGTCCAAAAACAAAATTGTCTTTGCTGCAAATTGTCAAAATTATTGAGAACAATCTCAGGCAACCGAGTGTACCGCGATCACTTGGGCTGTCACGGCCAGATTATTAGGTACAAAAAACAATTTGCCCTACCACCACAGGCCTCGCTGAAAGTTTGAGTCTGAATCTGATTCTGAGTGCTAAAAGTCTTAGTCTGAATACTAAATGTCTGATTCTGATTCCTGAAACTCTGAATCTGAATAATAAGACACTAAGTCTGGCAGGTGACGAAGCGAGTCTCTAATTAAAATTATAATGCAGTTGTGTTAAGACAATAATCAATAGCTTGTATAAATAACACTTATCTATACGAGTAATTATAGATTGGTATTAGGCGGTGGGAACTGCTCGTAAACAATAACACGGGGCGCGGGACAAAGATGTTATGAATACGTTTGTGCGGTAAAAAATATTGTTTTGCGTCCAGTGTAGGATGAGATAGCCGGTATTCCTCTGAATTTACCGAACGAGCCTGTGCTTCCCATGTAAATGTGCTGCTATGTATGGTGCATAGTGTGCCTAGAGTAAGGGGAATACACATTTGCAGTACTTCTTGCGGTTCAGCGTGAAACTGCGCGCTACTTCAATAGTTATTGGTCAATCATGTGCAGTTGATGGATGAATGAATTTTCAGTCTTTTCCGCACACTCATTTTGTTGGTTTAACTTGTGATGGCTACCGTACGTTAACACCTGCGAGAAAGTTACAGTAATTACAAACTTCTGCCAAACCTAGTATATCTAGGTTAGGTATAAACTGATCAGTTCAGACCAGCCTTACTGGATTGCTAATTTTATTTTACCAATTATTTTTTGGATAGCCGGCAAAGCTAATTAAACGGCAAAATTAGAAACATCGATCAACATAATGAAAGAAAAATGCAGCTAGCAAATAACTGATACAAGCTGTTTCAACAGGTAGGCATAATACTGTATGTAAGCTCAGAAAGTAGCACTGTACAACTACGTTTGCAGCTGGATTAACCAGGGTCCAGGCCCCAGGGCACATTTTCGGGTGTAAATTCGAAAAAATCTCATCTTTTGCAGTGCATAGCCCATAGGCTACAGCATGCTCATAGTGTAGGATTTATTTTAAATTCAGTTTTAGCCACGCCCATTGACCATGGCAGATGGAATACTAGTAATTTTTTTAAACATACTAGGGTAGTATACTATCTTTTTACAAAAGATGAGATTTTTTCGAATTTACACCCGGAAAACGTGCCCTGGTAAGCCGGAAATGGAACGTTTAATTACTGCATACGTGTATTCCCTTTACTCTATGCACGGTATGCAACATAAAATCAGATTTCCATGGGCGTATATTATGCTGGCACAGGCTCGTTCGGTAAATTCAAGCTATTAGTAAATTAGTTACTGTCTTATCACAACCGCATTATAATTTTAATTAGAGACTCGGGTCGTAACCTGCCAGTCCTAACCTAGTGTCTTATTATTCAGATTCTGAGTTCCAGGAATCAGAATCAGACCTTTAGTATTCAGACTCAGACTTTTAGCATTCAGAATCAGATTCAGACTCAGACTTTCAGCGCAGGCCACCACCACATTAATGAAATCTATTAGGTGTGCCAGGAGTGTTTGGGGTGCGCCAAAGCGATAGTCCAGTTTCCGCGTACGCGAAAGTACTTCGACGTTTTTCGCATTGCGGACATATTCACAATTTGGATTTGCGCACCGGAAACTAGACACATTCTTACCGTTTTCCAGCATGGCAAAAGCTTATCAAAAGCTGATTACGCGATAATTAGAGTGTTTCTATTCAAACTTGTAGTACATGAGATTAATAAAAAAGTCAAGTTTTTCGATTGTGGAAAAACGCAGAGAATGCCATGTCTCTGCTATCTGGTGTCGGGTACGCGAATCCATATTTTAAAATTATCCGGAATGCGATAAACGTTGAAAGATAGAAAGTTTGGTAAAATACTACGCAGTGTGCAAGGCTCTTCTTTGCCCCACTGAAATCCACACTGTGCGCTTTGACATATCAAAACAAAGTCATTGCCAAAGTCTGAAAAACAAATTTGAGTACTGTTGTAGAACTGGAAACCCTTGGCGAAACCGCAGCTATGGGAACGGTGTCCGCGGGCTGGATAGTCTTCTACAACGTGGTCGGACTGTTCGGTTTAGTTAAAGGGACCCGACCGTCAGTGCTGCTACCACCGCCAACACGCCGGTTTGCTACCACGCGCGGGTGGAAGTTCTTCTGCCTGTACACGGCTATGATGGGTATTAGCGCTCTGTTGGCTGTGGGTATGATCATCGAAGAGATCGTCAAAATGACTGAGAAAAAAGCCTGGAAGGCCAGCCTGAACTTTACTGTACTGGGATCAACCGTCTTTAGCCTAGAGCAGTCGTCTTTGATGCTGTCACTGGCCCTGGGCGCGTTTACGTCGCGCGCAGCCAGTGAAGAATCTAGTGACGCTGCGGTGGTTATCACCCTTCCGCAGTATGCCACCGCACGAACGTCTCTGTTGCCTCCGGATGCGACTGCCGTCGACCAACCGCCTACGTACAACGAAGTTGCTGAACTGCCTCCGTCCTACGCGGAAGTGACGGTTGTTCCCAAGGGTCGCCGCATTACCAAATGGGTTACTGCTTGGTTCTCTCGTTCAAGTGCTGAAGGAAAAGACCAAAACTCAAGTGTTTAAAGGAAACGTCCCGAAGACTGCCACGAATGTGTTGCTGGCTGTCATAATGTCTGACTAATTTTACTGTCTATGCTTTATTACTATTTTATTATTTGCCTGTGTACACTTATATTATTATTCAGATGTTTGAAACCGTTGTACAGACAACGAGCGCATTCAGTACACGACTTATCACAAGAAAACCAGTTTTGCCCTAGTCTAACCACATTGTACGAATATGTGTTATAAGCAGGAATTTGGCATTTCTGTGGGACTACATATTTACACTATTCCTAGTCATAAAGGTGTGGACCGTGGATGGGGAGAATGCGTCTTCACGACAGAAACAGGGTATAGCAGGCATTCCGCGCAGCTGCTGGCGGCGTTCAGGCTCTGTGCACTGATCCTTTGAATAAAGTTTTACTTTTGCTCCATGAGCCTCCATCAAAAATAACCGTTGCATTAATTGTTAGCATTGCACAATGAACGGCTGCCTAATTACGACCCCACAACCAGAACGTTTTCCATCGAGCTGTAGGGCTCATCTTACGCTTTCACCGGTCTTTACGAGTGTCTGCCCTCCAGCGGCAGCCAGTTGATGGTGGCGCAGCGCTACTGGGTCAGTGCAACCTTTTTCCGCAACAACGTCTTCAGTCCGCCGATGAAAAACTTCACCGTCCGCTACGGCGACCCAACGGAGATGGGCTGCATGGTCCATTCCTCCCGTCTTCCTTACCAACCGCTTCCTCTGGCGCCAAGGAAGCCACCAGTTGTTAGCCAAGTCGATCCTGGAAGTAGCCGATAAGGTCAAGGCGTGGTGGGGGTTTAATGCAGTCTTCCAGCATGGCGTGAATGGTTAAGTGTCGATGCAATTCGACAAGGAAGACTGGCAGCGTCCACTGGAGACGCGCTGGTCGCTATGAGTGCTGATTCCGTATCCACGATCGTCTCGACGAAAGAATCGTTCAGGAAGACAACCTGCACGTTGTCTAACCAGAACAACCGTTTCGCTAGCGGTTGCCACATTACAGTGCTTTACTACCCGATCCATTGATCTGAAACTTCGAAGATCACCAGATATTTTCGACTGGAGCGCAGCGAAGGTTCTCCAGTTGAAAGAAAACAAAAAAATGCCCGTGTGTTACAGAAGAGAAACGTTGCGTAGAGAAACGTTAAATTGATCTATGCTACAGTATGTTGCATGTTCTATAATGTTATTCAATGTTCTATGCCAGTTTAGCGCCAGGCCGGTGGCATTACTTCTCCTAAACTGTCTCAGAAAAGTTGTTCAGCCCTTATTACGAATTAGATATATTGCTCCGATCAGAAATTATCAAAAAGTAAGCGAAGCACTTGGACGAGCCATTTTTACGGTGTACATTTTGGACCGCACGCGAACGGTTTACCCGTCAGGTTTCCAGTAATCTTCCCGGTTACTGAGGTGTCGCACATGAAATCAGGTGTTCCAGGAAGCGCAGCGGAAGTAAGAGAAAATCAAAAATTACGGAAGTACGATAAACTCGCGGATCGATGCGTAATACAACCACTGGCATTCGAGACCACGGGAACCTTTGAAACGCTAACAAAGAAATTTTTTTAAGGATTTGCCAAGGAAGATTTGCGAATGTAACGGTAACCCTCGGTCAGGGGAATTTTTGCGTCAGAGAATCAGTACTGACATACAGCGAGGAAGTGCAGTGTCCATCCTCGGAACATTTGACGATATAAGGAACAACGAGGATGTTTTTTTAGCTTTTAGATTGGCTGATCGGGAATGACAAGTGCCCGATGTTGTTTTTCTTGGCAGCTCTGCTGTGACTTTGTGTAGCCAATATTAAAGTTATGAAATCACAATATCCTTGTTACTTACTTGACTTTCTGCTGATTACCAACTGAACTGGGCATCCTGACTGTCGATAACAGAAGCGATTACTTGCAACACGACCATAGAAAGAGTTGCAGCACTAATAATGCGACACATTACGTTCAATCAGGTATGCTGCCGACGTACGCCGGATCACCAAAGTGCCTCCGGATCACCAAAGTGCCATGAAAGCCTCCATTGCAGCGGTGTATGCACATTTCAGCAGTGCGATTATTACCGGCGATAGCGAAAAGCGGCAGTACATACTGATTATATTATGGGCTCTAGCTTGAATGATGCATGTCAGTCGAATTCGCATAACAAAAAACGGTGTGGTGGTGATTGCTCTCATGGACTTCATTACTTAGCAACAAGGGCTTGTGCTCTAAGTTCTTCACCCGCAGTAGCGGCTGAAGGAGTCTGGAAATAATTGAGGGATATGTCCTCATCCCAAACCGGAAATTGCATACCTTGGTGCGGCATGAAAGCCTCCATTGAAACAGTTTTTCTGGGCTTACACTAATTCTGCTCGTCAACCGGTCAGTTATAATTTACGGTTTAGCTGTTCAATCAGTCTATCACAGAAAATTCCAGATAGTAGAGCAAGGGTTAAATAACAAGTCGGATGAGGGAGCTGGTGGTCAGGCCCGGGGACTGTGTGCTGCTCGTACATTGATCACCAACCCCCTCATCACCTTGTGTACTGCACGCAAAGTGCCAGTGTGCTCTTTACCCGTACTGAATCCCATAATATGTCCACTCTATGGCCTGAGCTACCGGCATGCGAATTAAATGTCGGGAGATTGGTCTGAGCAAAGCACTCGCTCCAGGTTCAAGTTGGACGCTGTTCTGCACAGAACTCCAGCGATATTGCAGTCCGTTTGCCGGTAGGTGTGACTGCTGCCGATGTTTATCTAACACGAAAAAATGGTTCAGACTTTCGATTTACAGCGTTATCGGCTTTTCGGATGCAATGCATACCTCATTTTAAATTTTTAATTAACTTAATCGTTCTAAAATTCGGTTCGCTGTGTTTGCCGGTTGTAGCCGCGCTGATTTATATATTAGACATATAGTGCTGTATTACTTGTTGCCATTTGCTTGATTGTATCGAACGAAACAACGGCTCTCGAGAACCTTATGTGGCACGACAAACGGTACAAGAAAATAGCAAGACTGAACAATTGTGTTCCACAGTAAATACACATCCTTTGTACTTTTGTCTGCATGAGTAGTCATTCAAAGTGTTCAGACATAAAGAGTGTTTCTAGTGCGACAAAGACTGTATCTGGTGAGTGGTGACTGGTGTCTTTCATATTATTGGTAAAGCATGATAGTTCCACGAACAAATCTGTACTTGCTAAGAGCATCAGTGTGAAAAATTACTGTAAGGTTGTTAAATCACAACAATCCAGTCTAGACTAGATAAATTGCTGCTCTTGTTTGTGTCATCATTATGGTACGTCTGTTGTATCTAGCTGTAATCGGTACATTACTGCGGCTATGTAACGGTCAGTGCCCGCTGGTTCCATTAAATCCACGTGGTCAGCCGGTATCCGTTCCAGATGTAAGCACTGTTTAAAGAGTTTCAGTGAGACCGTTCGGGTTATAGAATATTTCATTTGTGCACTCGTTCATTTCGTAATAACTTTTTCATTGTTAGACCATGGGATTATGGTACGAATACCGATTTCGTAACGGTCCCGCGGCCACCGACCAATCGGGCACGAATGTACGGATCAACCAGACCATTTTGGCGATGTTCCCCACGCAGCCGGCGTCGTACGTGGTGACACGCTGGTACAACTTTTTGGTACAAGATAACCCCACCGATCCGGTGACGTGCGACGCCATTGTGCAGCAAGGCAACTGGACCAGCGACGGCCGGCGCCAGGTGCTCAGTGCGGGTGCCGGTGCACCGATAAGTATGGCTGATTCAACTGCAGTTCGGTCAAATTCATTTACTTTTTATGACATCACGTAAAAAATTAAATTTTTGCGTAGAATATGAAAACGTCTTGAAACCCGAGCAATTTAGTGTGGATAAAAATAATTACAAAAATGTGTTTTATTAGTTTCTAACGTCGTTGCATGCAAGTTGCACTTCACGAACTTACGAACAAAAAAGAAATGAAACCATAATAATGGGTAACTCAAAAGTATGTAATTAAGAAGGCAAATCATGGATGTGTATGTGCAACTAAGTATGCTTATTTAGTGTGTATGTGCAACTAAGTATCCTTATTTATCCTAGCTTAGTGTTGAATTTTGTAGCCAATGTGACATACATCAACCTTTTTACCGACTACAACCTCCTGCAGATCCTGTACCGTTGCGAAACCCCCAATCCCGACGGCCAACATTGTGATCAGCCGTTTATGTGGATCAACACCCGCATCCAACCGCCACTGCTGTCTGACTGCCAGAAAGCGTATATCCAGAACATGGTTAATTTTTATTTGGCGGATATCTGTCGGGGCTTCAACGACACCAGCGCCACCGAGTGGAATATGGCACTTACGTTACCGTGTAATGTCGCTCAAGGAACACCGCCCCTGCCGGCCGATTTCGCGGCCACCTTACCGCAAAACATCGCTGTTGTCGGTTAAATAAAATAATGTAACCTGACTCCTTGAGACCTAATTTTCATAACGAACTGATTTCTATGAGTGCTTCCTAACGATGACATCTAAAACTACTGAATCATCGGCAGGGGTGAAAACATTCTTTTCTTTGGTCAACTTGTCTTACCTTTCACAAAACTAACAAAACTGTGGTCAACAAAACAGAAAAATTGAAAGAAAGGCCACCTTGATGAACCGAGAAACTTCAATCACCCTAAAATTGAATTTTGCAACGATGGTATTGTCGACGGTTCGCACTATTCGGCAACACGAAAAACTTCAATTTTAATGGCCTTTGCCCTTTGAACAAGACCGCTTAAGCCAACTGTCATTAACAGAATGGGAGCGCAGCAAAAAAATACCATTATTCTAAAATAATTTTGAAAAATGTTCATTGCTGCTGTTTTTATAATTACGATAAAGACGACCTTTGACGACTATTCGAAACTACAACAATCGTGAAAAAATTCTCAACTTCGATGACCGCTTGCATTTGGTTGATCAAGTAAACCGTGGTGAGCAGCAGCACGGCAATATGACAGTTTAGGCCACCATCATGAAATACCCAGCTTTAATCGCTAATAATTCAAAAACAAATTGCGTACCATATAAAACATGGAAAAACGCGAAGGGAACAACTGCAAAAAGAAAAGGTTCGAAGATAGGGAAGAATATCATCAGAATACTACCATTACCACAGCGCAAATACACAATCAAATAGGTAAATCCGGGGAAAGAAGAAGATAATCACAGACATCTTGAGACAATTTAATTTAGCAATATACTCCCAGCACGATGCATTGCACGCGGTGCTGTTACACCGGATTTCCGTCACCAGAATTCGGTTTTCGTGCGGGCGATTATCTTGGCCGTGTTATCACTGACACCGCCGCGGCGCTGCAGCATCAGCGTCGTTTGCACTGGCCAGAGTTTCATGCGCAGCGCATCGGTGAAGGGATTTTCCGCCATGGCCAGCCGGATGCAGGTGGCGTTGCGGAGGCCGGCGGCGCTCAGTCGGAAACCACTCACCGCAGGGTGCCAGACTTGAAATCTGCATATTGTGGTATTTAATTTCATACCATTTTATTCATGTGCTATTATACAGTTTTCATTCTACTGATTTTGAATTTTTCCTTCTATTCCTAAGTTTTAGATCGAAGTTTTCCAGTTGTGAAAATTTAACTGAAAATTACGAAAACCTTGAAAACCTTTATTTGTTTTCGAATATTTAATTTTACCTGAGATCAGTGGTGTCATTTTTGGAGATCTCCGCTTGCACACAGAACTCATACCAGGACCGTGTGACCTCCCGCAGTGTCTCCACATCCTGCCCCAGTTTTTCTATCCCGTAATTTTTACGATGGTCATGAAACTTCTGCAGTAAATACTCGTACAAGGCACTATCGGCGCGATTCCATTTGCGAGCGCGTTCCTGCAGATTCGTCGACAGTTTCTCCTTGTACTGCGCCTTCCGGGCATTCAGCCGGAAGACAACCACATCGTCCCATGACCAGCAGAGCAACTGACGCAACAAGACCAGAGATTCTTCCATATGTTCGGCGATCATGACGAGGGCGAAACGCCGGTCAATCTCCTGGATTTTCTCGATGATTTTTTTGGAATTCTCAAAATCCTCCATGTCCAATCCGAAATCAAACATCATGGGGTTGCGCGCAAAATCGCGGACGGTGGAGTTAAAGTAGTATTTGTGCGGAGCTTCCAGGAATTTTTTCAACGAGACTTTATACCGCTCCGGTAAACGTACCTGCGTTAAATACAAAACATACCATGAAAATAATTGTAAGCAAAACATTAAATAAGCGGAACAAAAAACACTACCTGTAGTACCATTACACCATTTAACAAAATCTACTCTAAGGAAATAATAATACCCCAAATAATACACCAAATTAAGTACCAAACTGTACTTACAAGTATTTTACCGAAAAGTCGAAAATTTATGTACAAAAATATTATTAAAATTCGCGTCTTACAACGTCACAAATGAAAACACAAAACGTTCTCGCAGTATTTATTTGGCAAGTGTAACTGTGTACGTACTGTTAATTTAAAAATAATAGTATTAATTTTGTTTTTATAATCGATAAAATAACACGTACCGGTTGAGAAATATAATAAAAACAGACACCCAACAAACTATTAGTCCACTAGACATAGTAAATCTGCGTATTATTTAAATTCATGTCTCAGAAATAAAGCAAAACACATATGTATCCATTTGATTAGTGTAACTGTGTAACGATTGCGCATGCTTCTAAGTGGATACGAGTTTTACACTAATAAAATTATTTTTGGAGTAGTTAATAAACTGTCACGTATCAGTTTAAATGATATTATAAAGCAACGACAATTTGATCAAGACGTACATAATTGTACATGGACTCGAACATGGCAGCCGGTTCCTTGACGATGGACACGAACACCGTGTCTTTTGGCATCAACTGCACCGTCGCATTCTCATTCCAGCGTGTATGATGGCAGAACAGATTGTACTCCGTCTTGGAGAACATGGACGGCAGCGGCAGCGACAGATTGGGCGTGAATTTGGCCGGATGACCCAGGTAGTTGCCGTCAGGCGGCAGGACAAAGGTCAGATTGTGCGCGTCCCCGTAGCGCATGAGCAGATTCTGGACGGTGCTGCTGGCACATTTGTGGGTCTTCAGGAACATGATATTCCGCTGTGCCGGGCAGGTCCGCACCGGCTGCGCGCCGTTGCTGCTGACGGTGGCCGTGGCGGGCGGGAGGGGGGAGGAAACCTCGGGGAATGTATCGGCCGGGTAACTGTCAATTAGCACAACACGCGTCAGGTTGCAGTGCCACTGGGATGCGGTTACCGGCTAAGGTTACGCTAAGGTACTTTTTATTGGGCCGTCCGAATACGTTGCTGTTTACTTTGCAAAGTATGCTATCGCACAATGACTTGCAATATGTGCGCTTGCGCTTTATTCTTACAACACCGGTGCTGTTTCAAGTTGCCCTACATTCATCGTTCTTCAAATAAATAAAAACAAATAATTTTATATATTTTTTTAGCTGCCAATTTTTATTGACATACATATGACACAGAAATTTTTTTTTACTTTGATCATTTGTTTCGAGTCACAACTCTCCCGACTGTAACCAGAGAAATAAATTGGAAAATAATACCTAAGTTTTAATATTAGATAAAAAACAATCATACTTAATTTATTTATGCTATTTCATTAGCGCTTTAGGTGTGGAAAATCCGGATTATTATTTTAGAGTTATTTTCAATAATTACATTTTTACAACAATACCGTTATTCACAGCGAAAAAATTTACAGACAGAATAAAATACGCAAACATATGCATTTCATGCAGCGTTGTATGTGAGCTACAATGTGGACGACATATCTGTGCGTAGATTAGCGTTAGTAGTAATTTTGCTAACGCTATATTTCGGTGAATACAGCAACTGTTAAAACAGTTGTAATTATATGGACTCGCATAAACACTTTTTTTCTTCTACAGGACTTTATATTACATGCCTGGAAATTAATCTTGATTGATTTGCCCTTTTGAACCCTCCTAAATGCCCAGCTATATTACCGTCTGCGTTGGACCGGTAAAAATCTTGGTGTATACCAACGACAAATCCATTTCCGGTAGCAGTGCCATGCAACAATCATTTTCGCCTAACTAACTACAATAATATCATTCAGGCCACCCGCGGCCAACGTACAAACTGTCCCGGCTACACAAGCCACAGGATAAAACGTTTCTGCCGCAATAAGTCGGTTGGTAAACACCAACTGCCGGTGTGACCGCTTCAAGTGCGCTCTACACTATTAGAGCGAGCGCGCGCCGATCCATCATCCACTAACGGAAAAGCAAATACAACGCCGCGCACGGCTGATATGCTGGAGGAGGAGACAGGAGAAGTCGCCGCTCCTTAGAGCTTTGTGCAGCCACGGCACTTCTCCTGAAAAGCCACTCGGACCGCATACAACCGGCGGCGATGGGAGAAAATTAGTAGGTCTTAAATGTTTGGGTTACTGGTTAAATGTGCACTGGGAATAGCGTAGACGCGTGTTTTCTAGCCGGTTGGGATCGCGAGAAGGAAAAGAGGTTAAAGGACTCTCCGCCACAATCTGTGTCCATCTTCGCTCTTTCAAGTACGGCATGGATTGGACGCTAATCAATATATGAACTAAATAGGCTTTTCTATAATGTATCTTGATTGATGAAGTTTTGCCTTTTTATGCCAGAAATGCTAGAACAATTTCCTCGCATTTTTATTAATAAGAATTTGGGCAACCATTAACTCGCAATGAAATGAATGTAACTCCACTAATACTGCAGGGAAAAAATATCGACACATTAAAGCAATATTGGCCAAAATTTACAGAAAAAGAATAAAAATAATATGCATTGTCATTAAATGCAACTGCTTCTTTAAAAATTATTTTTGCTTCGTCAGAAAATATTATGAATAAAACCGTCTTGAGAAATGCAATTAGCGCTAGTCTAACCATAAATAAACCTCGTGCGTTCTGGTCAAGCGCAGATCTGATGGACATGTGTGCTGCACCCTAATCAGCCGCATGGTCTGCAGATTTTTGACAGCCGGCAGGTTGTCTGAAGTAGTTCGGATATGTAAATAAAGCTGCAGCTAAATATAAATAGTCAGACCTGCATGTGCAGCAAAATAAATCGGATTAAAAATACCGACGAGTGCCAGGCAATTAGAAAGGCATTTGTCAAACCGATACGGCTGAACCGATCAACACTGTATATGTACCGGCACGTTTGACCAGCTCAATGCACGCTGAAGTTTGCGAGAATTCTTTCCTGTTAATGGTGAAAAACATTTTACGAGCCGATCATTTTTAAATAAATTCGCATATTTTTGCACTAAAAAATCGCGGGCACACAAGAAATAAACGTACGTTCACAGCAAAAATAATCAATTTTTTTGCGCAGTGATTTCTGAAATTGTTTTTATGAAATCAGCACAAATATGAAACGGGAAATTAATTCTAGTCATAATTTTAAAAAAACGCCAGTTAATTCAGACAGACGTTACGTTCGTAATCAAACAATACCACATCCAGAAAAACATTTTAAGCAATAGCGGCATCGGAATGGTGCATAGTCGCAAACCGTACTAATCATTGTCGGAAGAAGAAAAGAGACACACCTGTGCAAACACCGCTGCGTGCATCCAGCATGACCACGCACTCTTTTAACTCTTACCTAATAATCCCCACATAATTCTTCTCCGCTCCATCATGCCAGGATACCGCCGTGTTGAACGAGGCATACAGCAGGACAACGGTCAGCACGGAGCCCAGTGAGATGAGACAGCTCTTGGTACGGCGTCGCGCTGCACCGCAAACCGCGGATGACGATCGCTCCATGTCAAATGACAACCACGTTGCGTCACATACTATCTTCCTTGGAAAAAAATCATAATCCAGCCGACTTTCGGGGAAATTATTTCTTCTTTACCGAGTAAGCTGCGGGGATCAGTGCGGCGATTATCGCGCCATTATGTTCAGTGCGAATCTACGATAGATCAAACAGGGACGGATTTGGCTGTGCAGTGGATATACAGCAAGTGGACGACGTGAACAAACACGCCAATGGTGGCTATCCGATTGCGTCACCGGCTGGGCATCAGCGAGAGATGGCACACGCGCTTTCTCCGCGCAGCATTACCGGTTTTCATCCAGTCATTCCTGGTCGATAAACCCCATCAATCGATGCTGGCATCCGTCGATCTCCCGGCTTTGTGTGCGAATAGCAAAAAACCAAGACAAAGCTATTGTTACGCTGCGTCGATACACGCGTTCCCCTTGTCAACAGCACACTGCCGTCGTCGGGGCACTTAAAAATTAATCAACACGGGGCCCAAATCCGGAAGAAGCCGTATGACAAGCACACACAGCGAAACGTGGTCAAAGAGTGGACCATGAGGAACAACGGCAATGCGGGGTGTGTTGACTGAACCGACAACCAGATCCGTTCCGATCCATTAGGCCAGCGACGTGTGCAGCGCTGTGCAGTGTGTGTGTGTCAGTGATGATGTGCTAATATTTACCTGAGCGCTGATGATGATTGAGTTGCCTGTGTATAACGTCAGGGAATACGAGAGGGGGAAATGTTTCGCAGGAGCATCAGCAGTTTTTTCCCCCGTATCCGAAAACAGCAGCACGGCGTCAGATGGATTTTGCAGGCTGGCAAACTAAGAATAGACTACAGTATGCGCGGGCTTGCTTTTTTTGCTGGACTCAGCAGTTTGTTAAGAGAACGGTTCGCACTGTGTTACCGGTTAGAGCGATAGTGATGCTGCAGAAAATAACGCCAGGCATATTTATCTGGATATGTATTGTCGTAATATTGAGCTGCACTTGACAGAGAGTGTATGGGAATGTAACGGGCGCACTATCACGCGGTGCTGCACCGGCTGAGAGTGTTTGTTGAGGAAACATTTGGCTACTCTTGTATAAAGCGTGAGAAACTACCGTCTGCCCACATAACATACACTTACACACACAAACACCGGATAATCGGTTACTTCGCTGTAATCGCCGGCTACCTTATATTTCCGGTGGCGTATGCACGTCGTACTTTTAAATATTTGTGTTTTTGCGAACAAAAAGGAGATACAGTAATGTCAACGAGGTTTTCGCTGTCCCTAGCAAAAACTATGCAACGAAACCAACCGACCAGATCGACAACAATGGTATCTGTTTTCATCTGACGTCGAAGAAGAAAGGTGTTTGATATCGGCTTACAGCCTCAGCCTTACCGGTAACTCAACGCTAAATTTAATGCTGCACCGTATTTCGCAGACTTCAGAAAAACATCAGTTATGTGTCAATACATGCGTAATTAACTTTAACAAAATCCAGTTATGGCAAAAGTGTGTAATCATCTGCAGTTATAGCTTTAATAATATAAAGATTCCGATTTACCTATGCCTTTACTCTAGACATGGCAGAGTAGTAGAAGGTACAAGGTGGTACACAGGCATTATATTTTCTGTATACGGGATAGCCTGGTATACAGGAAGTACAATTCCTGTATACGGGACAGTTTACGCCACTTTGAAAAGGTTATCAAAGGTTAATGCATACCGATTACTGTATGTACTTTAATTTTGCACGGTCTGTATTCCATTATTATTTGCACTGCTCAGTCACGCGGTATCGTAAGATGACGAAAAACCCAGTTTTTTCTTAAACAAAGTTAACAAAATTAGCGAAAAAAATGGAAGGAAGATAAAGACAGGGTTAGCAGAACGAGCTATTGATTCATATATATATATATACGTAAATGTATGAAGCAAACAAAAGCAACACTTTTTACGAAGCAAAATAAGGTGTTATACAATCAAAGAATTTTCCATCCAGTTAATTCAGTTACGCTTTTTACGCAAACGCATACGTTGTACACGGAACCGCTTCGGGATGTAGTCCTCTGGAGCAGTACTGTCAAAATCTGGTCCCCACTTTTTGTGCTCCACCTTATAGAACCGCTGTCCGGCAAATATGATGGTGCTTTTTACGCATTTGATTGCCGCCGCAGGCCACACCAGCTTTTTAGCGTATTCTAAATAATGTTCAAAAATGAACCGTGACGCGGGCAGATATTACAGCACTGATAACCGCCTGTTAAGCACCTTTATAACGTGACGTGTCCCACTTGGTTCTGAAAACACCCAATCCGGCGTAACCGACGAAGCGCGCGCAGAGCCGCTTCGGTTTATCCACGCTGCCATTGCGCTCCGCCTTCTGCATCTGGCGGCACAAATCCAAGACCTGCTGTACGGCGTGATCGATGCATCGCTTATCCTTCACCTTCAGAATACAGTAGTTCAGTAAGAACTGCGTGGCGATATTGGATGCCAGTAAGCCGCAAGCCAGTTCGAGGGTCACCGCCTACAAGTTTAGCTAGCTAATCACATAAGTATACACTGTTGAAACAGAAAATCGCGCGGTAAATAACTTCAGTACGTAACGCACTTGGTCTAACCTTTCACCGAAACAGAATGTTTCCTATACACAGGTGGTATAACCTCGCTTTAAACAATACTGTTCCCCTGCTTTTAGAACTGAGTAGGCCGCTTTCCTTGTTGTATGTTGCAACATAGCACGCATGTCGGGAATGTACCTGTGACTGAATGTCCTCTTGTAGAACCTGCACAGGGCGTCGCCAACGGTCGAGCCGGCGGTAGTGCTGGGGGTTTGCACCACGATCCAGCTCCCGCAGTTTGTCCAGAAACTGGCACCACGGATCGGCGAAAGATTTTCCTGAACTATCCATGTGATACACAGCTACGACAATAACGTTTTGACGACACTGCGGATGTTGATTACGCATTAGATAAAGAACAAAACTTTCATCTTGACTACAATACGAAGAGTCAGACATCTTTCTCTGTTGACTGGTATACCGCCAGTGCAGCGCACCATGGTGCATAAGTTATGATTCATAGAAATAAGAACGGCTATGTTAAAAAACGGAGCTATGCAGCGCGGTATCTTGAATGTACAGTACAAGCGTAGATAAGCGCCGGATCGTGATGACACACGGTACCAGTCGTTATCTTCTGCGCATATTGCACAAAAAAATCTACATAGGCTTTGTAAGATCCCGAATATCTGAACCTGAGCAATGTGGGCCTTCTATATTATACATATTTAAGATAATACAATGCAAGAGTATATGTACCAACATGTTGCGCTTACTGTTCTTCAGAACCACAACCAGCGTATAGTGCTTGGCACTGTTGATGGTGTCACCTCCGTAACAAAACGGAAAAATTACAGCGTCAGCCTTCATTATGCATCGAAAGCTTTGCTGTTAGTCAGCAAAGGTTTCCCAATATGCGCGCCAAGTTTGCGCAAATCCCGGTAGGATTTGAGGTCGAAAATGCTCTGAAAACCGAAGAACAAGACTTCCCCATCATGTCCTGTAGCGGTGATTACGCTTCTCATGATAAGATCAATATGATCTGAATACAATGGCATGACCGGCTTGAAGCAGTTCACGAGTAACTGGCATTCATCCTCTTTGGCCACAAAGGTCTTGCGAGATTTGGTGTAGGCGCTGATAGACTGACTCGCCGCTTCTCTCAAGTTCTCACAACAACCAAATTTGACCTCTGTGAAAAGGTGTTCAAATGCCTCTCTTTCAGATGCAAACGTTTTGGTGCAAAGGTCATTCTGTACCAAACTTTTAGTAAAACAGTGATACTGTTTGGCTGAAGCCATTGTTAGTTTTTGAGCAAGCAAGATAAATTGAAAATTTACTTGAAGTTAGATTTTCGAAGTCGGAGCGGTACTCTGTACGTCTTCCTGCTGTCTGTCTGTCTGTTGTCACGTTGGTTGCATGGCAACGCCATGGTTAGCATTCGGATCCAAGGCTGTGCTGCACTGGTTCAGTGTTGCTTCAGTAAAATGCTTTCGTTTCACAAAATGCTCTCACTATATTTGGAAACACACCATGTCGATCGTTGTATTTGACAGAAACCAAAATTTTTGTGTACAAATTTGCTAACATACGTTACGGTTACAGATCGGAAACATTTACAGGAGTAAGGTCACCAAGATATTCGGTACTGTTGTACAATTTGTCCCTTTCTGTGAACGCAATACAAACAACAATACTACACTTTACACAGTACTTTAGTACTACCGTATTATTACAGTACTTTAGGATGCATACTGTCCAGTTAGCGTACGGAAGACAGAGCGTACAACACATACCGTAATTATCGCAGTTACACCGACCCTCCTATCACTGGGAGAATAAAATGGACGCGTGCAGGAGCAAAAATAGGGGGAGCGACTGGTGACACAGTGTCGGAAAATCGAAATGTCAAGGCGGTGGTAGATTGCGGTGTCTACAAACATCGCTGCTGTACAATTCACTGCTGGGTCGGAGGGCTGTGATTGTTAACAGCCCCGTTGAGGCGGGCTATCCATACGCCAGCAAACCCGAAGACTAGCTAACCCAAAGACCGCTAGCAAACCCAAAAACTGATGAACACCTTAAGCAACATTTTTCAATAATTTTCAGGGAGAATAAAAATCAGCGAACCGGATCGATGCCCTTGCTTGCTTTTATATGCAGATGGGTGCAATGCGGATAATTGGTTTTGATTACAATTCAACAAGGATTATTGATGTCGGTGATCCACGATAACTGTTGCCAAGCGTAGTATGATTAGGTAGGATTATCCCTGATCGGAAGTCCCGTCTCCCGGATAATATAAAAGGTCAGCCTACTGCAATGTATTTCGTGACCTTTACATTTTTTTAATGGTTTTGTATACCCATGGACGATTTATTGGATGATCTGATCTCGCAGTTAGATGCAGCGATAGGTGACTCGCAACCTAACAATGCTGCTAGCCAACATGTTGAAAGGGAGAATGAAGAGAGCAGCTGGTTGGATGAGCGTGCAGCTGAGGTGGACTGGCCGCAAATCGCTGGAACCTCGGACCTCAATGAATTAAACCGTGTGCTTACACAACGTGAGTTGATTAGCCAATAGTAATTCCTATTCTTTTTTTTATTGGTTTTCAAAACTGCGCTACTGTATATAATAATTTCTCGATGTAGTTTCGAAAGGGTCCTCAGAAGAAGGTTTACGAAACCAGAACATTTCTGCAGGTGAGCAAGCCTTCAGAAACAACGCAAAAACATACCTTCTTTAAACGAATTATTGGTTTGCAATTGTTTTCTTACAAAACTATTCGCAACACCCATTCGCAGAAGATCAAGTTATCGAAGATGTCTGTATGCAAAGCCTTCATAATGGACACCCTGGCGAGAGTGCGGCTGCTATAGCACAAAACGGTGAAGTAGAACAATAAACCCATAAAAATATTTCTAATTGTTGCGATCTTGGGCCAGTGATAAATCCTAAATTATTACTGAATAAATAATTAAAAATAATCAATTTTATGTAAATAATTAATTGTATCGTTGTTTCACGTCTGAACACAGCATTGGTGCAGCAGTTCGTTGAAAATTACATGCCTGAAAATTATGCTACTAGTAAGTTCTTGGACCTTTGTTTAATGTGAACAATTTTTCTGCTTCTCATTATCAGGCGCTGTTTTTTGTTAGGTGGCAACGCGGTTTCTTATGATCTTGGTGCTTTGTCGACTGTTACGGTTCTTGGACAAGGACGTGCTCAAAACAACTGGGTCGATGAAGCGATTGCTGTGTCGCTGCTGCAACCCGCATCGCTGGCATGGGTTCGTACGAACCAGACCCTGATCGTGCATGACATGATACCTGAGGTTTTGCGAGGCGTACCGTGGGATGTAAAGGCCAAGAAACTGCTCATGTATTTCGGCGGTAATACAAACTGGGACGGATGGTTTAGCCACGCCATGTTAATTTTCTTCACGAAACCTAGTGTCTTGGAAATCAACCGAGAAGAACTCCAAGTGTTGCTGAAGTATTTGTTTGCTGGTGGATGGTACACGGATGTTGCGACCGCAGTGAATGCAACAAAAGGAAAAGATGTACCAACAGCGCCGTACCGACGTTTCAGTGGAACGCTCTTTGCTTGGTACCGCAAATTTGCTACGAAAACCAAATTGCGAAAGAAACCGCCGACCTCTTACCTTACGCTGACGCGAATTTCTCATTTTGGTTGTTATGAAGGTTGTGTCAATATTAACCTTGCTGCAGTAGAGTCTATCTTGGAACAGCGCGCGCATTTAACTGTTCTTCTTCCGGAAAATATGCAGATGCCTGAGCTGATTTCTCAATAATATCCATACATATGTGTTCTGAATGACGATAAAGAAAATCAAGAAAAAAAACAAAATTCGTTCGTTTACTTTTGAGAAAGCACTGCTAGCAGGAGAACAAAATAAATTTGTTTAGTGCTGCAAAAGGACACTGGCGCCAAAAAGAAATAAAAAAATATAAGCAATTTGTCATCGTCAACTAGGTCGAAAAATTGTTACACGTATTTGATTACAACGATATTCGAAGAAAAAATCTGAATGTTTCAGAAAAGCACAGTAGGAATTAAACAATATTCGAATTAATCCATCTTTTTTGCTAGGGTTGTAAGAAGTTATTCACATCAGCTAGCAGGGTATACTATGTAATTATTTTCAATTATCCAAATCAGATCCAAAAATATACGATGTAATCGTTCACGGTTATCCACAATATCTGGTTTTATTGATGGTAACCGTTTTCAGTTACCACGATAATCGAAAAAAAATCCCGTTAATATATAAATGAGTTAACGAAGAAATGAGGCGAAATATTAATTTCCTCAGTCTGATTGTTTTAAGTTTCAATCATGGACGACCTAGTCACCGACGTGCCTTATGCAGTGGAAGATTTACTTAACGTGGAGTGTACGGGTGAGAAATTTTCTAAAAATATCGACTACACTTTAAGTGCTTCTCTGTCAAAGTTTCCGAGCTGGATAAGATTCCTTTTCCGACGTCCCTATCGCCATAACGCAGATCATTGAGAACTTGCTAGATACACTTCTGGTCAATGTGGGTCAAACCGAAATGGTTCGAATGCGACTCGACTCTAATTGTTTGAACCGACCAATTTGGACGCCACCGATACAACGTTCCCAGCTTACCGTAAAGCGCTGGATGGCCGAAGTAGCCCGTGTACTTAATTCCTACGAGCAGTTTGTAATCGATGAGTCCTTTGAGATATCCTTGCAATATACCGATATTCCGAAAGGAACGTGTGTACGTGAAGTGCCCGCCCTCCTGCAACGGAGACTAGAAAAGATGAAATCGGTCGTGCTCATTAAGAATTCGGATCAAATTTGCTTGGCACGCGCACTGGTTATCGGGAAAGCTCATGCCGATGGAAACAACAACCTTTACCGCAAGTTAATGCGTGGGAAAAAACTGCAGACAAGAGAAGCGCAATGTCTTGTTCATCGAGCTGGATTTGTTGAACAAGAATTCAATTTACGGCACGTCCACAAATTTCAAGAGATCCTGCATAAATACCAAATCATTGTTGTTAGTGTCGACCATGCAAACCTTATAGTTTTCAACGGACCGGTCCAGGAGAAAAGATCATTCTGTTACATCATGACCGCCATTTTGATTTACTGAACTCACTCCCGGCATTCTTTAAAAAAAAATATTGGTGCTATTCCTGCAACAAAGGATACTCTGATCGAAGAGACCATCGTTGCTCCAGCATCTGCAAAGCTTGCCTTCTGTCATCCTGCACGTCTAGCACGGCTGCCATGGTGCACTGTGAAGAGTGTAACCGAGACTTTTTCGGACAAGAATGTTACGCACAACATAAAAAAGCCGGCACCAGAGACAAACCAACCAGAAAAAGCATCTGCAGCACTGTATTTTTCTGTAAACAATGTTTGCGAATAGTTTCCCTCAAAGGACGAAGGAACGGTAATATTCATCAATGTGGAGAAGTGTTCTGCAAAACCTGTCAGAAACATGAATTGCCTCAAGTACATCGGTGCTACATGAAGCCTCATAACGTTAATCTTGAAGAACTAGAACTCAATTCAAACGCCGAATTTCTGTATTTTGATTTCGAAACATATGTGGAAGGAAACGGAATTTTGGTGCCCAACCTAGCAGTAAGTTGGCTGAAGTAGAAAAAAAACATTTTCTTTGATTCGCTTATCTCTCCTTATACCTTTTAGGTTGTTCAAGATGATAACGGAAATGAATGGGTGTTTCCCAGCGAAGAAGAACCTTTGAACGGAGATATTACCAATCAATTATGTACGTTCCTTTTCAGTGAAGATCATCGCGACCATTACATCATCGCACACAATTTCAAAGTACGTAATTTTTTTATCAAATAGGTATGTACCAATAAAACAAATAGCTTATTTGTAGTCATTTGATGGCTACTTCATTATGAGTTGGCTTTTAAAGAACGGAATCGTACCAAAGGTCATTTTGAACGGTGGCAAAATTCTGCAACTGGATGTGCCGCAATTGAACATTCGGTTTCGAGATAGTATCAACTACAACCCACAAAGCCTTGCAAAATGGCCAGCGACATTCGGTTTGCCAGAAATCAGTAAGGAACCTTTCCGCACCGGTTTAACCGAAAAGAAAACTGGAATTGCATCGTTCCATTTCCCTCAATGGATGAGTACGGTTACAATGCTATGAATGCCAAATCTAAAGATTCATTTCAACGCTGGTATGAAAAAGAGAGGCTTGAAAAAAATAATCTTTTTGATTTTCGTAAAGAGTTTGTGGACTACTGCAAGATGGACGTCACGGTTTTACGACTCTGTTGCCAGCAATTTCGAAAGCTATTTCAAGAGATTAGTCAAGGATTATGTCCGTTTGTCTCCTCGTTAACTATCGCGGGATTGTGTAACCGGTATTGGAGATCGTTTATGTTGAAACCAGAACAAATTGCACTATTACCACATGGACTTAATGCAAGGAATCGGCATCAATCCGTGAAGGCTAAGAAATGGCTTTCTTGGATGGAAGAGGATGGCAACTGTACAATTCAATCTGCCATCAATGGTTCCGAACACCGCGTCGGACCCTACTTTGTCGATGGATACAGAAATGACATCAACATGGTCTATGAATTCTACGGATGCACATTTCATGGCTGCCCGAAATGTGTAGCGCCTAAAACTGTCCATCCGTTTCGCAATCTTCCAATGACCGATGTCTACCAAGAAACCCTTGATCGCGAAAATTACATTCGTACACAGGGTTACGGGCTCACCTCTATTTGGGAGCATGAGTACGACGAAGAACTCAAAACAAATCCAGAAATGAAGGCCTATATTACGCGGCAGCATTTTACCGAACGCCTAAACCCACGGGATGCTTTCTATGGAGGGAGAACAAACGCCGTGAAACTTTTTCATGAAGTGTCCGAGGATGAAAAAATCTGCTATTTTGACGTCAACAGCGAGTATCCCTTCGTTAACAAAAACAGACGGTATCCTGTTGGGCACCCTATTGTGATTACAAAAAACTTTGAAGATATCCAGTCTTATTTCGGAATGGTGTTGTGTGAGATTTTACCCCCTGGTGATCTGCAGCTTCCGGTGTTACCGTATCGATGCGGAGGAAAGTTGACTTTTCCTTTATGCCGAACATGTATGGAAAAGCATCAAAATAGCAGATGCGAGCACGCGGACTGCGATCGTACTATCACCGGCACGTGGTGCACACCAGAAATCATCAAAGCCTTGGATAAGGGCTACACAGTTGTGAGAATTTTTGAAGTGTGGCATTTCGACAAGTACGAAGACCGGTTGTTTGAGGAATATATCAACCGGTTCCTTAAACTCAAGACCGAGGCTAGCGGTTGGCCGACCGAGATTCAGAGCGAGAGGGAGAAGCAGAAATACATAACCGATTTCAAAAATCATGAAAACGTGGATCTGGAGTACAACAAAATCAATCCTAATCCCGGTTTGAGAGCTTTAGCGAAGCTGTGTTTGAACAGGTAAAAATGTACTGTGTCGCATAAACACTGCCAGCATTTTAAAAAAGCTCTTGGTTTTATAGCTTTTGGGGTCGGCTTGGAATGCAGGACAACAAATTGAATACAATGTACATCAGCGAGCCAGAAAAATTTTATGACATGTTGCTCTCTGGGAAATATCACGTTCACTCCTGGGACCTTTTAACGATGACGTTGTGCAGATCACCTACACTACCGAAAGCAATTTTGTGGATCGGAATCCGAACACCAATGTGATTCTTGCAGCGTAAGCTGAACGGTCTGTCAAACAAGAAATATTACTTAAAACCAATTATTCTTCTTGGTTGTAGGTTTACAACATGCTGGGCTCGCCTTCACTTGCTGAACTTCATGGAAATGGTGGAAGGTCGTTTGTTATATTTCGATACAGGTGAGCAAATCACTAGTTTTTATTTCTAATAGAATAAATTCCATAATCTAACTTTTGACAGATTCCATATTTTTTGTAAGCCGACCGGGTTTTGCGGATCCACCGACGGGTATGTTTCTTGGCGACCTTACCAATGAATTGAAACCGGGCCAGCATATTGTACAGTTCGTTAGCTTGGGAGCAAAAACTTATTCCTACGTCACCAATGATGGAGACAGTGTTGTGAAAGTTAAAGGATTCACGATAAACAAGCGAACGAGTGAACAGATCAACTTTAAGACTATGTTGGACATGTTGTCGAACCGAAAAATTGTTACTGTGGATTATCCTGATGTTCTGCAGCGTAACAAAGCTAGTATGACAATCCGAAATGTGAACATGGTAAAGAGATTTCAAGTGACGTATGATAAACGTCGCATTTTGATAGTGAGTACAATACTGTTCCATACGGATATATTCTAGGTTAATGCGGTGCTTTATTAAATTCTTCAATCATCTTCGCAATGTGGTCTACGGCTATGCATAGCTGGTCAGTAGTTTTCAATCCAAGAAAATTGCATTTACCGGAAGGAAACAAAACTGCACATCCAACATCAAGCTTAATTGCCAGGCCACTAAATAATTCCGGCGTATATTCTAGATGAAAATACGTGCTGAACTTTTCAATATGTACTCGCTCAGGAAATACATGATTGCCCACAATATTAACCACTCGATAGTTAGTAACAGTGCATGGATAACCAATTCCAACTAAAATTTTTGCAAAGCGATGGACCAAAACTTGTGCGTCATCTTCAGTTCGTGCGCCATTTACGGTAATCTTACCATTTCGATAAAGTTGACAGTGTGCTTTGTAAGGCGTTAGAATGCGCAAAAGCAGTCCTGAAAACTTGTGTGGAATGTATTGGGCCAGTGGTAACGCTTTTCAATCCTCCTCAGGTCCAGGATAGTGTTTAAGTCCGCAACGGCAACGACATTGGTGATTCTGGGCATCGCAGTGGTACCACAAAGCAAATCGAACGGCTTTACGGAGGGTTGACACAGGCAGCGAAGTGAGTTTATGGTACGGGGGACAGCCCAATGACTCTAGGTTTCTAACTTCGGGTAGGTACTGCTCCAGCAGCCGGCACTTCTCTAGACCTTTTGCAAAGAACCGTATTGCATTCGGCCGTCCAATTCTTCGGAAAATGTCCTCCAGGGCGCAAGTCATTTGGTTATGCCGGTACTCGCCTTCTGTATACCACACCAATCCATGTGAGTGACGAGCTTGTTGTTTTAGCGCACGGTCATGCTTGCTAGCGAATCGCGGGAGCGTGAAGGTGTAGAGGCTTTGCTCGGCTTTTTCGGGACAGTAGAAAGCCAGTTGCTTAATATATTTCGTTCCGTCGATAACAAACCAGTCGGCATCCAGTATGCAGGGTGTTGCCATGTTTCAAAAAGTGTTTTTAATCGCAAAGTTTACCAAACGACAACTAAACTGATGGTCGCTGCCGATCAGGTTCGCTGACCAGTTGGTTGAACGTTGGACCACGGGATAACAGGAACCAGTTATCTGAATGGTGTGTCGATTACCAGAAACGGTTATCCGTATGGTTCATGGATAACCGTGACTGGTTATCCGTATGGACAGTTGATAACCGAAACTGGTTATCGGTACGGACCACGGATAACCGTAACTGATAATCCATAAAGATTGTGATAACCGTTTCTGATTATCCGTGCGGCCCATGGATGATCGGCCCTGATTACCCCGTTTGGACCGTAAATAACCGAAACTGGTTATCCGTACAGTACATAGATAACCGAAACTGAATATCCATGAGGGTTAACGATAACTGTATCCGGTTATCCTTACGGTCCATGGATGACCGAAAACAGTCATCTTGGTTCAAGAATAATTATGGAATCCGAATAACTGAAGCGCCGTCGGATAATCGCGACTGATTAACTTTGTCCCCAAACCCATCGACCAACAAACCCCACTATAAAAGCCTAGCAGCTTTAGGAAACAGCTAGTCAATCTAGTTTTTTTTCTATTGCCTATCCAGTTTCCGGAATAGATATGGAGTTCATTGATTTGTTTGGCGCAAAGCCACCTCAGCCGGACCCTAGCAAGCGTAAGCGAAAAGACGGGGGGCGAACGGACGTTAAGAAGACTAAACCGAGCGGACAGGAGGCGGATGTTGAGAAAGGCAAACTAGCCAATCTACCGGATGGTGTGAACTCTCATCCGCGCTTTGCTTTCACGCAAGTGGGAAGGCCGGTGTATCGCTTGGGCAACGACAAATTTGTTTACGTGGGACCAAACACCGACGGGAAGATCAGTACGATTCGTATCGTTTTTGGTGAATGGAAGGAGCAACCGGACAATTCCTGGAAAGCCAGCTACGGGAAGAACGTTTCGCTATCTAAAACCGGTTTTCTCCGTTTGGCCGCGCTCATGCTGACCGAAAAAGCCGACATGGATGAAGCGGCCCGGGCCAGCGCAGCCGAAACTGGACGGCTGACACCGTTGTATCTGTTGGACAGTAGCATGTATTTTGGTTGGAGCCGTTTCAATGGCACCAACGTGGCCACGATTCGGCGCTTTGAAGTGAAGGGTGGGGATATGATTCCTACTCGTTACGGTATCTCTTTCGGTGAACGATGCTATGATGGGTTAAAAGGTTTAATGAAGGACCTGCAGCTGTTCAAGGACATTGCCAAAATCCAAAAGGAACAGGGTACCCAAGACCCAATCAAGGAAGGACTGACCTTCTCAACGCTGTGTGAAAATATTGCTGATGCTTTGGCGCCACTGGTCAAGCAATTGGACAACGGACGTTTCAACGCTGTCATGAAGACAACTATGTACCGTCCGATGCGGAATGGAACGGGGCCGTGGAGCGCCTTTTGGAATTACGTATGGTCCATGGGATCTTGTTTGGATTGGATAAGCTAAGTGTTGAACAGGCTCTGGACCTCGATGTGGTTGGTTTTTTGGCTAAACATGGTGATAAAATTCGAACCAAGGTTGGAGATATCATTTCGGCTGATTATTGTTAAGTTGCTGTTTTTCATCTACTTGTACGAATAACGGAAACGGGTGAGTGATTTTTTTATTTCATTAAACGCTTACACATTTGTCGGAGAAGAGCTCCATCCACCATGGTTGTATTAATGTCGAAAAAAGAATTAACATACTGACAAACCATTTTGTCGTTGCTTGTTCGGCTATCCGTAAACAAATGCACAATATTAGTGTATGACTCACCACCACAGCGTCGTAGAATAAAAACAAACAGTACTGCCCACAGACAGTGCTAAATTCAGACTGAAACTGTTCATTTTGTAGAGTTATTTCATTGGCTGCCACCAGTGACGCAAAATGCGGAGAGTAGCTTTCCAAAGTTTTCCCGTACGAATCAAACATTTCCATTTTACCAGCCTGTTCTTGGTACAGCGCAATCCAGTGTTCGCCTTCTTGGTCGGCTGGGTCGGTATTCACCACACGCTCCCGGAAAAGGTGCCAGTGTTGCTGGAACTTGATCGCTGGCATACACCCCACGAAATACGGCTGTGGTCTGAGGTTTCCCATGGAGTGCTGAGGTAATTTCCTGTGTATTCATGTTGTAAAGTCCGCAATGAGCTGTCGATGCTGGTTGATTTCGATAATGCTGTCATAGACCAGCATGCACACCATCATAATGGTATTTTTCAATGGTTTGCCAAAGACACCGAGACACTCAGGTTTCCCTGTTTGATCAGTGTCAGTGGTCCACGGCCGGTATGTCCTGGCGTCAAGTCGAATCCAAAAATGGTGTATCCGTCATTATACTGGGTCCGATTGAATGGTAAGCCGCCTTGCAAACTGGGTCGGTGTCCCAGTGTGTCCAGCAGCCCGTCGTAGCACTCCAACGATAGATTATGCGCAAAATCGGCAGTGTAGGGTTTCGTAGGGTAGCTCTGACCGTCCACTTCGACGCTGATTTGTGTAATGTTGAAGTGTTGGAAGTTGAAAGGATTTTTCTTTTGCGATCCGTGAAAGTCTTCGCTGTCCACAAAACCAATAAAGACAACCTTGGGAATTTGTCCAATCTGCAAATTGCTGATTACGGTGCTTTGGGTTCGTTGGGGAATGTCCGACACGCGCATCACCACGCGTTCGATATGGTACTTGACCGTCTTTTTCAACAGTTCTCCAGCGACGGCGGTCAGAAAGTCCGGTGATGGAATGTAGCGACGTACTGACAAACGCGCGTTACGGATAAATGGTTTGAAGGTCTTGGTGGTGTCCGTATCCCATACGCGTAGGGCAAACTCTGGTCGACTTACCACTAGGCGAATATTGACGGGAACACCGGTGCACAGCGGTTTGCTTTGGTCAAAAAGGTCCGAAAATAGCTTGCCGGAAAGCTGCACGTATTGTCCTGCATTAAATAGTGCCGCTCGATTTTTTTCACCGTTATTGGCGGTTTCACTGTTGAAGGAACCTGGGCTATCGTAATAAAAAGCGGCAGATGTCAGTTGGCTTTGTTGGGCGTCCAGTGTGAGACAACAGTGATTCTAGGTAGGCGCGGTACGGGTAGAAAGTTGCGGCATCCGAGATCAATCGGTTGGCTACCGTCACATGGCATGAGGAAAACAGGGAGTGCAGAAGGTTGTTAACTGGTGCCACTCCATCAGCCGTTGTTATCAGTTCCCATTCACCGGTACTCTTACGGACTTTAATACCCACTTCTAATTCCAGGATCATGTCCGCTAAACTGAGTAGTCCGGACGTGCTAGGCGGAATGAAGAAATTGATGTCACCGGCTGATCCGTTGTCCGTTAGGATGGTAGTGGGGTTGAGCTTCTCATGCTCGGTGCGCCATCGGTCCGTTAAAGTCGCCGGTAATGCAAAGAGCTGGTTCTCCAGTTGCATGGCCGGCTCCGAATTTTCCATCATCAACATGGCCATTTTTCAAAAGAAGTCGGGGATATTGGTAGGAGGAATACGTTTAACTCGTAGAACTTTACGTCGAACTCGTCGTTTTTTCCGGACACCTTCACCTTCTTGGGAAGCGAATCGTTTTCCAATGGCTGTTCCCGCACGCGAGGCTACCTCTTTAATAGCCCCGGTCGCCGCTTCTTGCAGGTGAGGGGTAGCCGCTTCAAGAGCGGCTCTGGCATGCGGTGCCGCCTTTCGTAATATGGGTTGAACAAATCCTGATAGCTTGGCAAACAGGTTTTTCAAAATCTGCGGGAAGCCGGATCCGTTTTGCAGGGTTCCTCGGTACCGGATCAATGCGCTGCCACCCGTCTGACTGACAAAGACGTTTTCATATCGCCGGGGATCCGGCACGTACGCAACGAGAGGCATTTTAGTAGAGTCGTTGTGGTCGGAAATGTAGCTTTACAAGGATTTTCCCGTTTGAAACTTGGCGTCGTCTCCCAGGTCGTTGGCAATGGTCAGCTTTATGGTTTCGAAATGTTGGCGTAATACAGGGACATAGTGGGAATGTCGAATCTGGCCTCCACAATCTGATTGACTTCTCCTCTAATAGGCACGGAACGTAAAAACTGCGCTGCGGTATCGCCGATCAAGCTGTAGTCGGCCACATCGCTGTATACAAACAGGCTTTGATTACCCAGCAGAGTGTTGACCGGTCGCTCCGAAATAAAGCTGGTCAATTTGGGATTAGGAGGCTTGGCCAGAAATGATAGGTACTGGATACTGATGTTCTTTGTCTCCATAGGAAATGGACCGATGAACGCATTGCTGTTACTTTCCATCGGCACATCCGGTTTTAATACACTATGTTCAAATCCCAGCATTTTTTGTAAGACTATTGACGACGGGGAAAGACGACGGAAACCCGATCGTTGCCAATATTCAGTCGGACCCGATGATTGGTGGCGGTCAGCAGCTGAACGGTGAAAGCTCTGTCCGCAGTCAAAGCGCTCTTGTCAGCGTGCACCGTATCGTCCACCATGTACGATCCAACCTTGGGTACCAATGAATTAATGGTTTTCAGTAACAACTCTGCATCTTTGTAATTTCCAGGGGATAGTGATCTCGTCGGTATGGACAACTTGGTCCGCGGCCTCCAAAAAATTCGCTTCATCCTTTTTTAATCTGAATTCTCGAACGATGTGCACCTCAATCTTTTGCTCAACTGGAAGTGTGAAAAGGAGTTGAGGTACTGTAGTTCAACGAGGGCCATTTCCCATTTCCCTTTCAGGGTAATGGGATGCTTCAGTTTGGTCGTCCAATTGGACGGAGTATTGTTGGGGTCCGTGGCGACGTCGCTTGGCAGCGTCACGTAGAACGGTGCTCCTTCATACATGATGCCTTGATCCAGGAATCGTGTTCAGGTCCGTAACCTAACCACCGTACTAATATCTTTTCTCCACGGCGTTTAATAACGCGATCAATGGTATGTTCTTTGTGTTCCGGGTGCGACACTTTGGAAAGTTCGTGTTCATAGAATGTTCCTTGGATAGGTTGGTCTTGGTAGTCCTGTAGTCGGTATACCGGTACGGTATGGAAATGACTTTATTAACGTAGAACACCTCCTCCTTAAATCGATACGTATAGCTTTTCTCCACCTTGGTTTTGTGCACAGCGATGCGAACCGCATCACCGACCTTGAACCGAGGTCGCCGGGCCTTATTCGTAGGATACAACTTGTTAAATACTGCCAATGAATTGTGTTGTGTGACGTCAATGGGTCGCAATCCATGGGCCCGATGTTTTGAATGGTTATACGAGTACACGAAATCTTGCAGTTTATCAATGTACCGCGTCGACACTCGCGCTCGGAACAAGCGAAACATCCGTGTTTTGATGGTGCGAATGACGCGTTCGGCCATGGCACATTTGATGTCTTCGTTTTCCGATGTGAAGAAATGAATCTTTTTTTCTTTCAGAAAAGTCTTGACGGTGGTGTTAACAACTTCGGTTCCTTTATCGTATTGCAGCTTCTCCGGTTCGCCGAGTTCTTCAAAGGCCTGTGACAAGGCGTTTTTGGTTTCTTTGGCCGTTTTTGTTTTCATCGGTTGAATGCTCAGCTTTTTGGAAAAGCAATCAATCACAAAGAGCAGGTGTTTGTATCCATCATTTTCTTTGGAATATTTTGACAAATCAGCCAGATCCGCTTGGTACTGCTGGCGAAGGTTGGTCACTACGATCCGATTGCGCGCGAACCGCCGGCGATTTTCCTTGGTCACAGTGTACGCATCGATCTCCTGCAGAATCTCCTGTGCTTTCCGTCTGTTGGCTCTGGTCTTGAGACTTCTTCGAAACCTTTCCACGCCTCCAAGACCGCCGGGGTCGCGTGGGTTGAGGTATCGCTTCATTAGCTTCTCCATTCGCTTTGTTACAACAGGTAGACACGCAATTGATCTTAAATATTCGGCATAACCGTAATACACTAGGCAGCAAGCTAGCCATTACGTCAGAGTAATCCACTGTATTCTGGGCAGACCAGATCCTGTTTGGATGGTACGCGAGCGCAGCTTCTTCACACTGCCTTCGATCTGGTGCGCTTTTCTTTTCTTACCCCGCAAAGGCGTGGTGACCGGAAACAGAGGTCGCCGCGGTCGCTTGCGTGGATACGTTAAGGTTCTCGACCTCTTCCGGTTGTCGTTTCCGACCCTTCCTCGGTGCAGTCGGGGAAACAGGGCTATGCGCGCTGTTTTGGTAGGTCGCAGTTCTGTACTCTCGTCTTGGAAACGCCGCTTGCTTCCTTTCTTTGGCAGTGATGGTGGAAACAAAGCAACGCGAGCTGCCTTTGGTTTATTGCTGTCACCCGGTTCGCTTTCCAAGTCCCGTTTTTGTCCTTTCGTGGGCAAATCCGCCGGAAATAAAGGTTGTCGAGGCTGCTTAGTAGACTTTGTTGATTCATCCGTCTCTTCGGGGTGTTTCCGCTTGCGTGGAACGGGGCGTGCTGGTAGCGACGATACTGTCTGTGGGGTAGAGACTGTCGGTTGCTTCTCTGATGCTATCGGTGGTGGTTGTGCAGTAACGTCTGTCGATAACTCCAGCGGATTTTCATCGGGTATTGCTTTCTGTTTCAGAGCGAGGAACCGTTCAAGAATGCTGCTTAGCTGACCAGCTTTTTCAAATTCACTTATATCGGTTCGTTGCAGGGTTTCGGCCACTAGTGCATCCAACGTTATGACGCTGTGGGCCTCTGGTGGCTCCTTGTTGATCTGGAGCTGATTCTGCATCCGCTTCTCCATCACACGACGCGGTACTATAAAGAATTCATCCATTACCGATCAGGGATGTTAAAACTCCAGCAATGACGGGTAAGATAGCTCCAATGAATCCTCCTTGCTGAAATATTTTCCGTTTTTCTTTGAGTGGATACCGGCGCAGAGCGATCAGCTTTAATGCTTTTCGGTGGCGTTTACATTTCTCCGCTTGCGTTGGTGATAGGTTCACAGTATTCTTCACAATGTTGACAGCAACTTCTTCCAATGCTTTCATCTGAGTCTTGGTCAGGTAGCTCATCAACACCTTTCGCTGTTTTGGCTTGAGGTGTTGAAGCGTAATTATAAAGGGTGCCAAAGCTTTCACGCGTTCGGACATTTTGGTAGATCATGGGAACGGTTTCGGTCGAGATAGATACGCATTTGTTGATTCGGTAGCACATGGGAACGAACCCTTAAATAATCGGGGCACATGGGGCGTAAGTCCAGCACGAGCGGTTGATATGCCTCCGTCGTGACTTTGTTGTATGCATCCACCAAATGTTTTAGTCCAGTTTGGCGAGCCAGTAATGAAATTTGGTTAATGTCCCGCACGTTCTTAAATAGTATTAAGTACTGAGAATTTAACGTTATGTCCCGCATTGTCTTTCCCTGTTTGTACAGGTTCTGGAGAAGCATAATAACAGAAATATTCTTGTGGTGTATACCACGGGTGAACAAGTCAGAACACCGTACGTCCTTACATAAATCCGAAGCCAAGTCGTCGATAACCACCAGCGTGTGACCATTGTCATTAACCGATTGTATAACCGAGAAAAGGTCATCCAAACCATGCACAAACTCGACTTGCGCAATTTCTTTTTGCAGATCTTCAAAGCTTTTCTGCCACTGGCCATAGCAGTACAAAATCCGGCTCATGGACTGATCAAAAACTTGGGCAGCGTTTCTAATTAACGTGTAAACAAACTGCGTTTTTCCTGACATTGTCGGCCCGCAAACACACATACCGAAAGGAGCGCAAAAGCGCGGGTAATCCTTTATTATGCTAAACATTTTGTTCTTTACGATACCAACAGAAAACAGTAGCTGAGAGCTTAAATAGATAAGTCAAGCAAAAAAAAGCTTAATTTTCCCAGTAACACGTTTACGGCACAGCGGACACTCTCGCAACCGTTTCGCACAAACATCGCAGCAGATCGCATGCCCGCATGGTGTAAAACATAACGATACCTTCTTATCCAGACATACACTACAGTCCTTGTCCAGCTGGCTTTGCTCGTCCAGTCGCATGTCGGTGATGCGGGCTTTAATTCGCTTGGCGGCATTTATTAGATCCTTTAATTCACGAAACGTTTGCAAACGATGCTTGTACTGTTGAACGGCCTTGATGAGGTATGTATAGTGGTAACCGTCCTCTTTCGCCAATGCAACTAAGTACTCTACTTCATCTGTTTTTGGTCCGCGAGACCATTTCATTGTGTCCATATTGTGGAGCTTTTGAACATCGTAAATAAAATGATGACCCTTTTTTTCGATTAGGTACGCGCAATCCGGTTCAAACTTGGCATGCTCGATCCACGGATCGTCATCCACTGTCCACTTTTCCAGCTTACGACCGCAGCAGAAGCACCGGACCCGGTCTTCTCCAGCCTCCATGAAGAAGAAACCCGCACGTGCCATGTCATTCGCTCGATGCGTAACCCATCCCGGCCAATCAGCGTACGTTGCGAAGCGCTCTCGATATTCTTTCATAGCGGGGACGTAGAGCTCGTCATCAGGACCATCGCAGCATAAGAGCAATTAGGATTAGATCGCCGGTGCTCGAACATGGGTTTGTCACCCATCATCCAGTTGAAGTGTACGACGTTGCAGACGACACACTTGACTTCATCTCCTGTACCCGTATAAATATATCCCGCTTCCGCTAACGACTGTGGGGAAACGTAAGCCAGAGGCCACTTTTCAAACGTCTTGAACCGATCGGCAAAATTCATATTCCGCTCAGCATTCTGCAACTAAACGAAAGTCTATTTAAGGACCTCAGAACGCAGTCGTTTGCTAACGCTTACATTATGGCAAACCTACAGCATATGCTGTGCTACGCGCGCAACGTGGAGCAAAAATGTGAAAAAGTGCTTTTGATTCTTCTTTATGTTGTATTTTTTGTGGTATTCGCTGCATTTGTCGTTACGGAAGGAGTCGGAAAAATCTTACAAAGTGATCACTGGAACAAAACCATGCGAAATTTAACGTCATAACTCACCGGCATGATTGGTACCGCAGCAGCCGTAAATCCTTGGATTTGGATATCTCACTGGTATCAACAAAAAATGGTTTGCTAACTTAACTTTTAGCTTGGAAGCTTTTTTTGGAAAAAGCACTATATCGGTTTGCTCCGATGTAATTATTTGTGCTTCTTTATATATTTGCTGCTACACCCAAAAACAGATTATCTGTAATGCAGTGATAACCGACTTCAATTATACTCTACTGATAAACCTAAATTATGATAACTATAAACGATTAACCAACAGCATCCAGGTAATCGAAAACGATTACCGATACCAAAAGTTAATTATCTCATTGAATATATAAAACCCCCTACTACCCGCAGCGCATCACCAGCATTTTGTCTTTGAAAAAGAAAAAAGATAAAAATTTTTTAATCATACTTACGTCATTATGTCAACAGTGTCCGCCGCCGACATGGAGAAAGCGTTTCAAAATTTATTCGAAAAGCTGGGCCCCCAAACACCAGGCTTGGTTTTTTACCGAAAGCAGATTCCACCATCTATTTTGCCTGATCTCGCCAAGTTTCAAGGGCTTAAAAAGCTCAGCCTGATTGACTGCAACTTGCGCTCGCTGGAAGGGTTACCACGGCTCCCCGATCTACGTATATTAATGCTGGGTGACAACAATTTGGACGACCTCAGCCCCATTCCTAACTGCTTCCCCAACTTGGAGAAGTTGTCCGTTGTGGGAAATAGAATTAGACTGCGGGATCAGCTGCAACCGCTGACGCGTCTGAACAAATTGCGCGCCTTGGACGTCGAAGGAAACGACATCTGTGAAATTCGAGGACACGACCGTTGGCTGAAAGACACGTTCCCACAGGTGACGCATTTTATTATCGTCGCGTACGATGTGGACGGCGATGAAGAGGACGATGGTAATGCTACTCGGATTCTTTGCAGTAAGTTGGTCACCTCTCATTTTTATATACTGATAAATACCAGATCGTTAATTATAGATGAACACCTGGACGATGATGATGAGGCATTCGACGATGATCAGATGGACAATTTAGAAGTAATAATGGTCATGCCAATTGACTTACTTGAGAGTATTTGAATGCTCCATTTATCGATATTGCATTCTCCACTTTATAGTTTAAGTGTTTATTGTTTTGCGACTTGGAATGCGCTAACTGCGGTTGATAAAATAAATGAATTGAAAAACGGTGATACCGTACGATGTTTTACCTCCTTTACAACAACCTTTTACAGTCTTCATAACGTTTACAGTAATGTTACCAACACCAGCGTGTACAGTATATCTCCGGACTTTCATTTTATTCCCCATCCACTTCAAAAAAATTGGCTTAAACTCTCCCGTATACAGGAATTATATTTCCTATGTACCAGGATATCCCGTATACAGACATTATAGTGCCTGCGTACCAGGCTATCCCGTATACAGAAAATATAGTGCCTGTGTACCACCTTGTACCTTCTACTACTTGGCAGGCACTCTTTTCCGATTTTGACAGCTTTTACGGTTTATCTTTCGCTTACAACAAAACTGTAACCATCTGAATTCCATCGTAATCAACAAAAATATTCAACCGTTTTAAAAACCTAACAATTCATAGCTGCAGTCACAGCGTCAAAAACGATTCTCCCAGCGAGAATATTTGAAGCAAGGGTATTTACAAGTCAACAACATTAGCACCGATATCGATATCGCTCCAGACGTACCGATCTCCTCCATCTAAGGAGACTAATAGGGGTACATTGCAATTTGCAACCGAAGTACTGTACGTGTACGAAGCAGACACACGAGAACAAAAGGGCACATATGCAATGAGCTGGCAACCAAAACCAAACGGTGGTCTACGAACGGGACTTTTTCGAACAGTGAACCTCAATAATCTCCGCAATATCGGGGTCCTCGCGGATCGCGCCCTGCAACGCCTCATCGGCCATAGCCGCCGCCATGTTTTTCGGAATGAGCTTCAGCGCGGCCCGCTCCAGAGTGTCCAAGCGCAGACGACGCGCCAAAGCCAGACGGTGCGCCGCGGTCCCCGCTGTGACAGTCTGAGCCAGTGTTTCCTCGCACAGTCCGATCAGATCAAACAAAATGTATTTATCCGCCGCTACCAGGATCTTCTCGGCGTTGGCATTCGTCACACGTGCGGTGTCCAGACCGTACAGATAGTCCAGCAGGATCTCCACGGTTTCGGCATCCTCGACCAACGAGCAACGCGATGTCTGCTTCTCGGTGGTGTTCTGCGATAGCATACCCGCGAAGTATTCCGAGTGGGACATGAGGACAAAGCGACTGACACGGAATTCTTTGCCGTTACTGGCTTGCAGGGTGAAATCCGTAGAATGCGGATGACGGGGCGAGCGCAACCAGTCCAGCTGCTTCTTTATGAACTGTTTGTAACGATCCGAAGGATTGTCGTTGGCCGGTGAACGCACGAAGCGCGTGGTGGACGATGCGGTGTAGATGACCACTTCCATTTCCAGGGAGATGGTGTCGTCCTCGATTTTTCCGTCCGTGCCAGTGGTGCCAAACAACTCGTCATACGAGAGCCAGTTGGCATCCCCCATCCGAAAGGATTCACTGGAGAAAGACTGGCGCTCCATGGTACCGCTGCGAATGATCTCGCTGCCCGTTGCTCCGGTGGTCGTGCTGCAAGGAAAGATTACGGCAATTAAGATTTCAGTTTTCAAATTTCTGAGCAGAAAACGACAAGCATAATAGTTACAAATCCTAAGTTTCACGAAACTATGTATTATGACAAAATCTGAATGCAGAAAGAAATTATACTTACAAGTTTATCGCATTTCGGAGACTTCCACACTACTGATTCCATTACCGAAACAACTGACCATGAGACAACGTCTTTTCTGTATTGATCCACATCAGAAAATAGAAAATGTGTGTTATTTTTTTTGTAAACACTACTTGTCAGGTAACCAGTTTTCGAAAAATTTTGTCATCCAGCAATACCGTGTCTTGCGGAGAATGCCGTGTCTCTTTCTGGTACGGTACGCGAACTGTGAAAAGGTGGAAATGTCCGGAATGCGATAAACCAGGAACTAGACTACTTAAATCATTTCCAGGTCGACGTGGAAAGTTTCCGAACCAGTATATTTCGTGGACTTCACGTCCGAGTCCGTGAGCATCAAGTACACCGAACAGTACTTCTTACGGCCTTTCACTTTCTGGAAGCAGGGCTTCACACAGATTCGCCAGCGGCCTTCATGGCCAGTCATTCCCAGTTCCTCCATCGTAGTTCCAGCGCTATACAGAGTCTCCTGGGAATCCTTGTAATACTCAAACTGCTCGATGGTCCATTCCAGTTTGAATTCGCGTTTATCGCGGCTGATACGTTCCTTGATCACCGTCGACATGCTGGACTTCAGCGCGATCGCTTCCGTTAACTTCAGAATATAGAGAGTACGGTATGAATATACTTCTGGCTGCAAAAATTCTTTCGCACAGGAAAAATTTTAGCCGGAATGCTGACGAAATTCAGAAATTAAAAATTAAGAACTTACAAAGAGCCAGTAACTTGAACAAACACGTTCTGGCTGAGACTTGAGAGCACGTGGATAACCGAGATAACCAGTGCCAACATACAGTGCCGTTGTGCCGACCGCTGGCATTTTAGACCGACTATATAAGAACCGGATGCCACAGCTGCTCGTTATCATCAGTAGCCTGTACTTCCTGTAGTCGTTTGTTGTACAGAACTTCCGCCCTCTTGCTAGTATTGCACAGTGCTATTAATTTTTTAGTTTTTCCATATCCGTTGCCCATTAAATTTACCCAAGCACTGATCTTAATAGCTTGGATAGCATTGTGTAATTCTAAAGGCTCTAATTTTAAAATTATTACTCCAAAGACCTGACTGTACTCCATCTTTAATTTTATTGTACTCTACTACTTGTACTGTTTTTACTTGTAAGTTGGGCGGAATGTTTTATACTTCGGATACGAGCACTTCGGGTTCGCACGAGTATTTCGGGTTTTTACATATTTTCGTCACTTTAATTACATATGCGTTTCCATATTAATTGGTCGCGGTCATCGGCGCCACCCGCAAACGTGACGCACTTCAGCAAAAACGTAAAAAAGTGTCGTAAACGTTTTGTTTGTAAGCGACTGCTCAAGAGAAAAGTCATGAAGCAAAATATCAAGAGGTGTATAGAAAAAAATAAGCACGGTTTACGTTTGCCACTGATAAATAACAACGTTTTACCGCTGTAATACTTGTTAATTTAACCAAAGTTTCTTAACCCAGGGCTCAGATTTGATGATGGGTAAGATAAGCTCATGAAAACGGCTTGGCATGGGGAATTCTGTATGTTCGGACGAGATTCTTAATCGAGAAGGGTCACTATTTACCAACTATAGTAACCGCCTAACCGGTATTGTGCATAACGCCTTAATGTACGTGCTGATTTGCAAAATGATCTTAAAGCATTTAGTTCATAGTTTAGGATAATTTCACTACAGGTATGTACTTACAATAATGTGCTACGACAGAATGAAATTGTCGAAGTATCAGCCCGATGTGAAAGCAAATGGCAACACTTGTGACGTAGCATTAATTTCTGAACGGCGACGTCGACATTGAAATCGAAGTGGCTAACTAACTCTACCGTCTGTACGTGATAAAGGGTCAGTTTTAGAGAATTTGTTTACTGTACTTATAAATTACCATTACTTATTGTACTTATTTATTACTTATTAGTTATTACTTTAGCACTTTTATTACCCAAACACAACTGGCTGCGCGCTATCGCAACCGATACTGACTTGCAGTTAAACAAAATGGCCCGCTGATTTATCAAGGTGAGCTGAATACGCGCCATGTTTGATTGACTTCCTTTTAAACTCATTTCAATGAGCAATATCTTTTAAACACAAAACAGTTAACTTAATCCAACATAACATGCAGGTTTGGCTTTTTAATTACGTTTTAAAAAGTAGAGTTGGAAGCCGTCCCGGAAAGGAAAATTTCGAATTTCGGTACTGTAACTAATTCAGAAATCTTAATATTCAGCTGCATAGGTTAATGACCGACAGTGAATGTCGTCTTACAATGTCTGACAGAGTGGTTGTTCCTTGTTTTTTTTACTCCTTGGAAATGTGGCCTACAGTCATTGTGTTCGACCATGACACGGGAGAGTTGCAACTGCTCGCATGAAATTCTTACGAAATCCTCAAACGGACAATTTGAAAACAAATTTCTAATAATGCATATCAATTGACAAACTTATCTGGATAAAACCCGTTTCTGCAAAGGGCAATATATCAGCCTTGATGTCTTCGAGTTGCGGCATGTTGGTGCGTAATTGCACACTTACGGTTAACAAGATACTGGGTATCGTACGTAATTTTGCAGTAGGTAATATTTGCTTGAATCAATTACACTTTCTGTAATACAAATTACAAGTATCTAATAAATAAGCTAGAAAATTTGGGGGAGCAAGTTCAGCTGGCCAAGGCTTTCGGTAAGGGGTTTCTTCGAAAGAGCGATTGTGCCGTAAAGAAGTTCATAATTATAATAATATTATAACTATGTACAATGTACTCGTACCGTATTTTTACTAACTTGCGCATGGTTTACTGATTATGTATTGGTTTACTGATTATGTATTCCGACTGGCTCACATAGATGGTTTTTCGAGTAGGTCATAATTTTTACATAATTTCAGTTATGTAGATCTGTTAACGATGACTGCTTATACAAACTTATGTGAAAATGCAATGATATATTTGCACTTTTTTAATATTATTTGCAGTCTTTTCGTTTTACTAAGCTATTCTAATTTATTGCGGTTGCCTTCAATTTTGCGTAAGAATGGTTCTTGCCAGTAACAACACTTTTTAAACTTCAGAAAAACGCTCTTTAATTGATGTTCGCATTATCATCGCACTTTGTAGTAATGTAGCATATAAAATAAAGAAATAATAATTCCACAACCAAATCTTTAATCTAAATCATCTTCTAATCTTCCGGGAAGTAAAGCGTAGACGATACGCAAAAACTGTAAATACGGTAATACGATACATATACCTATACGATACGTCATACGATTAATAACAAACGGTTAAAACGGTTAAAATTTAACAAAAATCAAGCGGTCAAAGGTAGAAACAAAATAAAATCGCCCGTTATCACATAATTCACAATCCACACTCAATGGGCCGGGGATGAGCCAGCTGTTTCTTGATGTACTCAATCTGTGATTCCGACAACTGCCAGTCACGGGCATCCTTGTCAAAGTTCTCCTTCGCGCCGTAGCCGTACAGGTAGCCGTGGATGCGGGTTGCCACATGCGAACGGATAAGTTCCGAATCCGACAGGTTGAAGCTGTTATACAGCGAGACGTGTTCCCGTAAATGGTACTTCTGATGGTAGCTGCAAGACTCACACAGTAGGTTACTTCTTACGACAGCAGGTACTCGTACACAATAATCTTGTAACCGAAAACGAAAACAGCAAAATAATCAAATATTCAAAAAAATTGGTAAGGACTGGCCAAAAAGATTAACTCGAACTGTTTTATTCGATTAATTCTTAGCCGCGAAAAGAAAATCCTGCCTACAGAAAAATTAATATGCCAATACAAATACCCAACTGGGTAACATAAATTCATTAAGTGACACTTCCTTACGTGGAAAGTGACCGAAAAATTACACGTAATTGAATTGTCGATGTATTACGTACTAAAATCGAAAATGACAATTGAAAAATCACTGCGCTTAAACAGAACTAGAAATGTCACGTGCACTGTAATAAAAACAGCATAACGCCCAAATTACACAGAAAAAAGGACTCATAAAAATAATCCAACCAATTCGTAATGTTCTTGTGGTCTCAAATAGCATATAAGAGCAGAATACTGTACTATGCGAAGAATTAGAAATACATACTTGAAAAAAATTCGATTAGTTAGTTAAAACGTTTTAAAAATTTGACCTAGTTATATTAAATTAGCAAATTAAGGAAACGGATTCTGAAAAATTAAAACTGAAAATTATAGCAGCATTAAAATTAAATGAAAATTGGGAGACTTTTTTTCCTTACAAAGACTTAATTTTCAACAGGAAGTGCGTACTTTTCAGCATCATAAAACGTCCCAAATGGCTCAATGTCTGTGACGATGGGTCGGTTGAATTTCTTCTGATATTCCGCCTTTGTCTGCTCGGCCAGCTGGTGCTGTAGCTCGTTGTGGTAATAAATGGCCGATTTATACTGCGCTTTATGTTTGGAGGTGGGATCGTGTTCCGTCCAGAATACATCCAGCATCGCCTTATAATCGGTCTGCGTTGGGTCGTATTCGATTTGGATGGCTTCGGTGTGATCGCCGCTAAGTATAACAAAATGAATATCAACACGAATAATTTTAAAAGCAATATTCGTTCCGTTATTGTTCAACTATAGTATAATAAAAACTGAAACCTAAAATCATATAAATACTCTAGTAATTTACGTTAACATCCTGGGCCTAGAGCACAGAATTAAGCACTTCGTTCGCTTTTTCCTAAACCGTCACATTGACATACATAACAAGATGCGCACCTTTTTAAGGAAAAAACAGAGTCTGCAATTTCTGTTTTATGGAAGCAAACGAAATATTTTTTTACGAGGTTAAAACTTGGATTCACGGTCAGGTTGAGTAAGTTAACCGTTCCTGTGCAGTTCTCAAATAATATTAGTTTTCGTAATCCCTACAATATTCGTATTGTCACACATTATATAATTTAGTAAGTTTATCTATTATGAGTCTACGAGTATATCTATATATGTACAAAGTTCCGATTAACTGTGGGGAAATCGTACCATCAGCTTAGCATTTTTAAAATTTAAAAGAGAAAGCGAAGATCAAGCCAGCACGAGCTATGTGCATTGTACAGTACACTGATTTAATCATTTACTTTGTTTAGTATTACCAAAACATGAAAATTTTAGTAAGGATTGAAAACAACTCTGAAAAACGTATTTAACAGCGCCAATGTATAGATGTAAAAACGCAATTTCCTTAACACGCCAATTGTTAAAACAGTTCAAACTGCAATAAATTTGCACATAATATTGTGGTGAGAGTCTGCGTTTTACTTACAGGCTGCGATAAGTGGGATTAACTTTGGTTCCTCCCGTATACCCCACTTTGGTGCGGATAACTCCCTTTTTTCCGCCAAATATAGGCTCCGGTGCCCAAAAACAGCCCATCGCAAATGTGGCTGTCTCCGTTGGAATGCTGGGTTCCTGGAATTTGCTGGCTGATCCCGTTATACTTGCCATTCTGACTCCGCCAGCCTGTATACGGTAATGAGTCTGGTTACGGTACTGACAATCTGGGAACCCAATATCAAACACAATTCCAATAATGTTTGTAAGAAGTAGGATTCAGAACGATAAAACGAAGGACAAACTCAAAGGATATTTAGAAAACATGAGTCTGTTTGCATTTATACCCGACGTATAACCGCGTTAACATTTATGATTATGGCGTCTTACACTGAAGGCTCTAGTCAGCCACTGCAGCATCTGCAATGTACAACCGATGGCACAAACGCACACGAAATATACGTTAATCAATAATCAATTTCAGGTGAAGGACAAATATCCCGTCATTTAACCGTAGAGCTGGAAAAACTACGGAGAAATAAACAAGTCGAGTGCCTCGAATATCAAACTTTCCAGCTCGTTAATTATCAGTAATCTGATGAATGTAATAAACTTTGTTTCTCCGTTCTCGCAGTCTAGCATGTGCACTGCGACGGCCAGAGTCGCGCGACAGCTAGGCGGATATCCGGTTTAGCCAGTAGCGAGCGGAGGCCAAACACTAACGAAAATCTAACTAATTATAGGAAATATGGTTTCTTCTTTGCAAATAAATACGTTTTGTAGAAAAATAACTGTCATGTACAGATAAAAATGCAATGCTAGACAAATCGATATAATTATCTATCTGTACTTAATACTTTTGTACTTTGTAGAGTTATGTTAACATTCTGTGGAGATAGACATGCGGTATTTCTGTAGCTTCGTGCAGTATAAAGTTATTAGTCTACTCAGACATTATATAAGCACCGAGTAAATGTTAAAATTGAGAAGTAACTGGAACTTTAAATGGCTAAAGTTGCAACAGGGTCACAGTTACAGTTTTAATTTTTAGTCTCCGGGAACACGGCCGGAACGTACGATTCACAATCTTCGAAGATTTTGTAAGAGAATTGATTAATGTTGTTTGTAATACCTTTCCTATAAGTAAAGTGAGATTTTTGGAAAAAAAAACACGTCAGTTCGATCTGTTCAGTTGTTTGTCCTTGGAATAATTAAATTCTGCATAAGAAAAGCTTATTTTTGGAGTCTTCCGGAGCTACTAAGAAAAGTACGCTGGCGTTTAATTGCAATATACTGTACGTATACGTTTTTGCGCTCTTATACGAGTATATGCGCAAAGCAGCAAAATTAACAGAACTAATTATAATTTGTAAGTGAACCCTTTTCTACTTGTACTTATTAATTTGTAATTTTAAAGCCGGTGTAATGCATACTGGGAAAACCACATTACTCGTTTCATATAAATTTCCGCATGCCGTCGGAGTATTGTGTATTCTGCTACCTTTTTGACGCTTTTGTCTGGGGAAACAAACATTTCTGCCGCTGCCCTGCGTGCACACGTGCTTTTACGATCTGTGCGTTGACAAACCTGGCGGTATGCGGAATATTAACTTTACTCACAAATCACAATCACAACGCCGCGGTTATTAAAATGCGGCACTCGCCCTTGACAATGGCCATTCTACTCCACCGTTCTTCGCATTTACGGGCATTGTTCAAACAATTTTACATCACTGTTTTATGGCTCGACGGCTGCAAAAATTCTTTCCGCTAAATCGCGCCAATTGTGTTAACTGTAAAGCAATAATGGACACGTATTACTAACGTGTAATATACCGCACATGCGCAGGTATTACTCATGAATTGTAATTCTTTCCGGTATGAACAGTATTCAGGAGTTAATAAATTGTCATATTCCGCGACAGCTTGTTTTCATTTTGTCGTGCGATTGAAATTAAGCACAGCTTTTACAAAAGTTTTTCAAGGTTCGTTTTTTCACATTATCACTGCACCATATGGATTTTTAATAACAATATCTGTGCTTTTCATACAATATAGAATGTGGATAAATTATTATTGTGTAGCAACATTGCTACTGCTAGGGTATCACTCCGTGACCTTTGTTACTGCAACCATATCATGTACATATGGCAGCGGTGAAGCTGTGTGTTTTGTTAACTATGGTCCAAGCGATGGCTCGCCCATTACATGGAGCGCCGATACCGCCTTGGCAGGAGCAAAAATCAATCTACCTGATGTGACAGTACTGCGAATTCTGAACAATGCCACCAGTGAGCAGCCGGAAGCTGGCCACCGACTACAGCTACAAGATGCCGCATTCAGCGGATTAACGAATCTACGACAGTTGCATTTATTTAAATTTAACAACGTACAGATTACCGGGAAAGCTCTGGCCAGTATCGGCAGTATAACCGTCCTCAATCTGACCCGAGTACTGTATGGAGACTTTTTTAATCCATATTGGAATGACGTCGTGTCATATACGAATGCTTCGGCCGAATTAAGGGAGCTGTACATACATAACTGTGATCAGAGTACTTTTAATAATGGACTGGGATTGCTGGAACTGGGAACCAACGGCGATAAACTTCGAAAATTGTCTCTAGCCCACAATAAAATCTGCTTTTTTGCGCCTTTGCAAAAAGCGTTGAACGAGCTGGAATACTTAGATCTACACGATAATCGTTGTGGGGGTAAGCGTGCTAAGCGATCGCCTGAAACCCAGTAATCAAAGTTAACACGCGCGTCATGTACGATTCGAGACACTTGATAAAAACTATACCAATAAAACTATTTTTAGAGAAGGCTGAAAAAAGGCTGAAATGGTTTTGGGTTTATGTGCTCAACGTAGAGGTTATTTTCAAAAATTTTTTTGTCAGCTGGTCTGCTAAAATTTACCGACCCGATGGAAACGAAATAATGGCTTAAACTGTATTGTACCACCGCTTCGATTTTTCTCATACGTTGTTCACTTTAAGCTTAAAATTTATTCTTATGTATACTGCTAACCAAGTTGTAAGAGTAAAATTTAAAAAAAACAAAGTTTAAAAAAATAATTGGCCACAGAGTGAGTACGCGTACGCGAAAATAAGTAGAAGCTGGAGCGTCCGCACTGTTCGTGTATATTGTAATTCTGCTACATTACAATCAGTATTATAGTAATTTTTCTGCTGCCGTACCGTGCGTTTGGGCTTTTTGCGATAATCTGAATAAAACATATGAAGTCCGATTTTTACAGGTAGCTTTTCGATCACTCCTGGATTTTTAACGAAATTCCCTAAACTCCAGTATTTGGACGTATCAAAAACGGATTTTCCGGGTATCGGTCTTGACGAGTGGGTCACCAAACCGACCGTCAATGTAATCCGCATTCTCAAAGCCGCCGAATGCAACATTAGATCTCTCCTGGTTAACCAATTTGACGCATTCAGAAGCTTAACCCATCTCGATCTGTCCAGGAACAAAGCCCTAGTCGCCATCTCCAGCAACGCTTTTGCCAATCTCCGACTAGATACCCTCAACCTATCCGGGAATCCAAACATGATTTTTAGCGGGCAAGGTGAGGTGTTCGCTAACACCACGGTGCGTAATCTGGACTTGTCGCTAAGTTCCCAAGACGCGAAGATAACGCAAACGTTATGGGACTACAACATCACCGCTCCACTGCGGCCGGAACTGGTGGTGCTCAATATGAGCGGTCGAATAATTCCTGATGGACGCTACATTGCTCTGGCTAGATATCCCAATTTAGAGGTCGCTGTTTTATCCCGGATGAGCCTGAAATCAGAGACACTGATGTACCCAATCAGCAATAGGGACATCGGTAACAAACTGCGAATCCTTGACCTTTCTGACAACAAACTCACGGCTTTTCCTAACGACACCGGGGCCGCCTTCCAGAGATTATGGAATAAGGATACCAAGATGGAGAAGCTGCTGTTGCACAATAATCCTCTCCAGTGTAAAGCCTGCGGGAACGTGTATTTGATGCGCTGGATTGCCAATGACAGTGACTGTCGGGATAGAGCCAAGAGTGTCCTGTGTTTAGTGTTGCCCGGGATGACGACATCCGACTGCCCAACGTGCTTGGACAACGGTGTATCCAGACCGATTAATCAGTTGAGCGTTCGCGATTTCGACATGTGTGCCGGGGAAAAGTGCACAACACCAAAGAACAGTGCGATGAGTTTGGCATCGAGTGTCTTTATCCATATAATACTTAGTTCTCTCCTGGTATTGTATTCCCGCTAATTTTTTATTGAGCAGTTTCTAAAGACAAAAAAGTAATGATTTCCAGAAGCCTTTTATGTCTTCATTTCGCACCACGCAATGACCTTATTAGAGAAACCAATGTTACTGTAACTACTTATAAAAATTTTAAACCGACATTATAACCAGTTATTGTTTTATATAATTACCATGTTGATACTAACAATACTGTATGGATGTCTTTATTCCTTGTATTTTGTTAGTAAATGCAAGTATATTGATTGGTTTAAGAATGTCTTGGCAGGAAAGGAAAAAAAATAAACGCTTTAGCCCACCGAAAAACGTTTTTGGGAAACTTCTGCATTAACTTTGTACTTATCATTGTGAAGGATATTATCAGTGTGGAAACTGGAGAGATTACAATATACCATGTAAGTACAGTAAGTAAATGTACACGAGAATTCAAACTTTCCTTATAGTCTCATGGCATCATGAGTGGAAGATCCAATATTTAATTAATTCAGAAATATGGGTAAAATGCATATGTTGGTCCGAGCGTGGCTGATTTTGTTGCGGCAAATGTTGTTATTAACGATGACTTCCGGTTGCACTACAGAATCTGCGCAAGTGATACAATCTCTGCACAACAGTGCGGAAACTCCCCACAACTGGCTTACCGCTTCACTGTATTATTTTACGATGTCGAGGCTAATTTTTGATAATTGTATTCAAGTGGAGGAAATTATTAATCGCCAGAGACAAGAAATTATAATAAATACGAAGCATCTTTCGGCAATGTTCAGTCATAACCATGAACGCCACTTTGGCTCAGTGGTAGAGCATCAGTCTCGTACACTCCATTTGCGGGAGTTAACTGAGGGTCCTGGGTTCGATCCCCAGAAGTGGCTATTTTTTGCTCATTATCACAATCATAAAACAGCCGTTATCAAACAGAGATTACGGTAAACCATTTAGCAATCATTTCTGATAAGATTTCGCAGCTACCAAGTAACACGCGAATGCAACTTAAAAATGGTTTAAAATTTTTGTTATATCGATTTTTATTCCACCGCTTTGACGTCCCCCTCGGGTGTCGTGCAGTAGAACGCATCCACACTGAACGCCGAAATGCGCCGGCATTTTTCCCGTAACTCCGTCCAGCGGCTGCCGGTCTTGACCTTGACATTATTCTCCATATCTTTCACCACGATCACGTGATCCTCGTCGTACACATCCGCACTAACGCCGGTCGTATCATAGCGTTTAAATTTCTGCGTTTCGTGATCGAAGGACCATATTCGGGTGGTCTTCCGGTCGGCCGCCAGCAGAAAGCCGTCAATCCCGACACTGACGCTGGTTTTCTTGCCGCCGGTCGGATCCAGTTTGAACCATTTGTTGGCCACGTACCGGTAGATGTCGCCGTCGCCGGTGGAGGCGTACGTCTCCTCGAAAGACATCGGGGCGAAGGTTAGGAATTTGACACCACGGGGTACATCGGGAACCTGATCAGTAATTATAGCGATTCAATTTAAGATAACGCTGCATATAATACAGGTATGTGGGTGTGCGGCAAAACTGCCCGTGTTATTGTACTCTCTAACTGCATTTTAAGAAGAATAGTATGATAAAAATTACGTATGACTGCCACGGTATCAAAACTGCGGCTAAAATGCAGGCATAGGGTATAAATACAATAAATAAGAGCAACAAAGATATCGTAATTATTAATAATGAGTACTAAATAAATATAACTGCAGACGCAGCAATGTAATACAAAATAATTATTATAATTATAATATTATACAATACATACAACTAGTAAGCTGATATTCAGTAAAATTTATAATTATATTTATTTCTCATACCACTTAGCCGGGTGGTGTGATTGTGTATCTTTAATAAATGCGCATTAAATAATTTCGTTAACGGGCAGTCTAGGACGTTCGTGTATTGGATTAAAACAGGGAAAACTTTTTCATATGTCAGGTCTAGCCATATGCAGCGATACGGATCATTGTAGTGTAACGGCTTCTAACTATATTTCTTTGTCTTCCGTTAGTAAGACACTCAGATTTTCATTATCAATGCTTTCTCAATTTCAAGAACGTTTTTTTTTCAAATGCCGATCAGTTGTAAAGCCACCGAAAAAACAAAACGAAGCATACAACCGTTCAAAGGTAAAAAATTCAAAAAGCAAAAAAATTAAAGAAAATAAAATATGTCATTTCAAGTATACAATGAACAAAAATTAGTCTGCTTATTGTATACGAATAATTTATTTTGTTGTTCCGATAAGGCTTCGTAACTTTCCTCACGATTTAAATTTTTATTCCAATGCAATACGAGTGCACTCACCTCTTCTGGCTCATTGTTGTAATGGAAACGGAAGGCCTTCCCGTTAGCGTCCACAAACCACACGGAATCATCCCACGCTGTGAACGCAAATCCCACATTATCGGCCACCTTCCCCGGACGGTCGACATTCTGGTTCTTGCGCATCAGCTGATTATTCGCATTAACGAAGTAATACTCCACCGGCACGCAGTCCGTCGGGACACTTCCGGTGGCGTACACGGCATTACGCTGCAGAGCAGTGCCGGGCCGCGTGGGCGGGCTGTCGGTCGACAGATCGAACTGGGATTTTCCCGTCTGGGAGCTGGTGCGGCCGCGCGATTTGGAGCGGGAACGGGCATCCGCCAGGACCCACACGGATACAACAATAAAAAAGGCTAGGCAACACCGCATTGCTGGTTGATAGTCATACACGTGTACGCGCCTGTCCCAAAACGAAAAAAAAATTGATTGAACGACGCAGCTGGGTTAACGGCGTATTCTGTTGAAAATTAATCCGATGGAAATCAGAGCTTATTCGAAGCTACGGCACTACTGTAATCTTGTGATATGATCAGTTGATAATGAGCTCCGGCTAGGAAAGTTTAAATATAATTACTTGTACGGTCAAAAAGTCTCTCTGTTTTATCTGTATACGCAGTAGGTATATCTACGGAGTAGTTTGACATACAGCAGCAATTTATTAACGTTGATTTATTAACTTTCACTGTGTGTTGTACGGAATCTCACCAGACTCTTTAACGGTAAACATCCCATTAATTGCTGCAAGATTAAAAGTGCAAGAAACCTGTTTGAAGAGGATCTGCAGCGTACCGCGGTGCTATTTGGAAAAAAACGATATCTCCAGTTCATTATGTATTTGTTCGATCGATAATCCGTAACCAGAAGTCTAAGAACTATAGCAGCCACTAAATATGTCGGTATCAAATTTATTTCTGTTACGCATTGTAATTTAACAAAAAGCCTTGGTGCATTCAAAATATCGAAATAAAATTAATCCGAAAGCGAAAGTCTTGCCAACAATGATTTCATCCAATTCCATGCATTTTTAGCTGCTTGCATTTTGCGTAATATGCAGTATATTATAGATTGTATGTACTGTACATATACCGGTACATATAGTAAGTAGTGGTTGCACGGCGTGCAACCACTAACACAGTTCGAGCGCATCGTAATGGCAAGCGTAAAACATACAGTTTAGGTTAAAACGTACCGTTTATGAGAAAAGTCCACCATAATTTATTAGTTATTTTTGTCTAGGATATGTTCATCTTGTAATGCATAATGTAGCGATTATAGGGAAATGTGAGAATTACCTTATACTTTCGGAAAATAATGACTTCTCTACGTGGTCAGTACCAGTGTTTAAATTTTCCGATTACGCCGTTATCAAGTAAAAAGTTAATCCTACATCGAGAAGGCACTTTCTTAATGTCGAATAAAGTCTGGCTTTTAACAATCGCGTGTACATTTGGCAAATGTATTGCATTTTACACATTAGCGTAATACTCAATACATGGTGATACACTCAATACATTGTACCAATAATAAATTTAAAAAAGTTTAATGAAATTGTAATTAGCGGGGTGAAACAAAAACTACCCGAGTAAATGGTTGAAATAGCTCTATGAAAACAAATCAGCAATTAGAAAAATATGCGTAAGTTTACTGGATTTGGAATAGTAGGTACAGAGTACATCATAGTTATGTACATATGTTACCATGCAAATTAAAATTTAACAAATCTGGCGCTTTGAATATTAAAGTATCAGTCGACGGTTACAAAAACAAACCAACAAAGGAAAATGTTTTCCACTTGCGGCTATATGATATTTGTATCGAAGCTGTGTTACACCATGTAAGAACCGGAAATGCTGAAAAACGCGCCAGCAGTCGACCAAGCGCAGAAGTTGCCGGCTAATAGATATACGAGCATCTGTACAAGCTTGTCCGGTAATTTCTGCCGGTTCAAAACAGCGAAATACACAAATTTGCGTGTTGCGCCAAACGTAGTGTAGTGGCAATCGCTATAGCGCAAACTTCGCGCTAAATATGTGCTATCTGTACCTTTACGACAGAAATTACCGGACAAGCTTGTACTTAAGTACTCTCGGCACGTGTAAAGTTGCGAACCAGTGCACCGGAAATCAGCTGACCATAATTTTGTGGCAATTCTTAAAGCAAATATCGGTTGTGCTTTATTAAGTACCTAACCGGTTTTAAAAGAAGTCTCCCTGTCTTTTTTAAACTTTCGATCAAATACCGGCTCAGCGTTTATGTGGCGAGACCACGCGAGTGGGCATACGAACGGAGAATTGTCACAGGGGCATTACGATGTAATAAAATATTTTCCACTTAGAGCATTACTTGCAGATAATCAAAGTAAGTGGTTTCCGATTTAAAAAAATTTAGTTTAAAATCGTTTAACTTACATCTTACAACTTAAAATCGCAATAATGGAACGCTGGAATGGAAAAGTGGCCTTGGTAACCGGTGCATCACAAGGAATGGGAACGGCCATCTGCACCGAACTGGTGGAAAGCGGAATGATTGTGTATGGATGCGGACGGAAGTTGAATGCTCTTGAGGTCAGCTACAATTATATTTTGTAATTACTGCCCGAAAATTTTGTGATTTTGATACTGAGCACCGTACATGTTCCTTTGATTTTGATATTAATCGTACGTGTATTTTCATAACAAATTTGTGCAACCTTTCAGGAAGTGGCATCGCGTTTGAAGGGTTTGCCGGGTCAGTTCCATCCAATTCAGTGTGATCTGGGGATGAAAATTCCATTTTGAATGTGTTTGAAACCATCGAACGGCAGGCTGGAAAGCTGCATGTCCTGGTTAACGTTGCCGGTGTACTGAAGAATTGCACATTGCTGAACGCGGCGACGGAAGATTGGCGCGAGATGATTGACGTATGTACCGTCCAAAAATTTGGGCTATTCTGGCATTTTGCTTACCGTTGCTTTATTAGGTACTATTGCTTGCACCGGCGATCGCTTCTCGGGAAGCGGTCAAATTAATGAAAAAGCACGGAATCGACGATGGGCATATCATCAATATTCTGTCGTACGTTTCTTCAGTTTATCGCAGATTAAAACTTGTTTAAGTAAAACAAAAAAGTGAGATTTGAGAAAGTGTAAAAAGAAACTCTTAGCCGAAATAAAATGAAACTTGGCGCAGTTAACAATAAGATATATGTACAAGCATTAAGCAACAGTTAACGAAAACATTGACCGCTACTACAGACAGAATACTGTGAAACAAAATATTATTTTTTCAGGGTGGGACCACATTCCTTTCCGCCGCTCCCTTTCTTAGCATTTCCCTGTGCGATGAAATGCGCTTTATTAGCGATTGACAAAGGCCTTCGCAATGAGCTGCAGTTGCAGCAACATACCGGAATTCGCATTTCCGTAAGGTCACGCGAACTACGGTCGCGAAAGCCGGTTAAACATAAACGTTAACCTTTGCTTGCAGTCTATTAGTCCCGGGATGACGGATACCAACACATTCGACACTATCACCGATGAGCACCTCAATCGAGCGCACCCTATGAAAATGCTGAAAGCTGAGGATATCGCGGAGGGTGTGAAGTATGTTCTCAGCACACCACCGGGATGCAATGTCTTCGATGTCTGGATGCACCCAACAGGCGGCTTTTAATCAGATTGTGGTGCGCTTTCGTTCTTTAACGGAATTTCGGGAAAACGATCCTCCTGCTTCAATGGCAAGACGTGTGTCCAACATTTTTATTGCGCTTAGTAGAACCAGAATTATTGTCATTAAATGTGGATGGAATGCAATTAAGATTATTTGCATTTCCCGTTCATTAACAGCGCTAGTAAGAGCATATTTATTTTGCGCTTGTAATGTCCGTAAGGAGTGCACTTCCTTTCGCGCGCCGGTCTAGCCGAAACATGAACTTAAAACGAGACTTGATTTAATTCTGTCGTTTGTTACTCTCAAAGTAGCGTAAAAGTTTGGAATACAGATAAATTTAAAATCGCGGAGAATGTGAACGCTGAATTCAAGCTGCATAGACAATGCAGTGTTTTCGGATGCTGCGGTGCCCATATGCGTTTCTCGCCGCAAACTGAAAATATAAACAAAAAATTACCGAAATCAATTCCAAGGAGACAAAGTCGGTTGATCACAAAATCCTAGTCAGCTGCAGCTGGCCTTTCACGAAGAATGAGCTTTTCAAGGTCAGTACACACTGTGTACACGCTGCTTCTGGGGAGCTGGGTCGCAGCGTCAGCTAAATTAAGTTATCAAATAGGACCTGGAAATATGGAATCGTCCCACCTTCTAATAAAATCTTATAGTTCCCTGGTTTTTATTTAGTTTGTTGGTGCATGGACATAGATACGGTACAAACAAGTTGCCGAATTCGGCGCTTTGACGACTAACCAGCACTTTCCACCTGAAATCCAACCAACAGAAAAGAAAGCAAAAGATATACTGTAACGAAGCTGTATAGTACAATGCATACCACGTGGACAGGATTAGTGAAGGAATCCAGTAATTTTTCTTTTGAATGTATTCCGAAAGCGGTGCGTGCAGCGTAACAATGTACATAATATGTGCATTGTTAAGCACTTGTTTTGGCCTTATTCACATTTCACAATGTTATTGTGGATAAAGTCAAAACAGGGAAAGGGATTGTAGGAAAGTATACGAAGCTGCAATAAACCTGAGGTCTATATTATACGAGACTTGCGCACGTTCTGGCCAACATTTACGGAGTGTTGTTAACACCGTAACCGTCTTTACTTAAAAGTCCGCTGCTATTAAACGCTAGCTGCGGATTTTTATGTAAAACCTTCGAATATTTGCACGGCAGCCAGAAAACGGAAGTGGTTACTGAAAATATTTTATGAATTATTAACACAAATAATGATACTGTTTGTTAATAAACAGTTGCCCTACTACGCCAGAATTTGCGTTGTATGGATTACGGATGCCACGGTAACAACGTCACCAGCTGCAGAAATCCTTCGTAATATGACATCGAGGATATCAAAATCTGTTCTGGACCACTGTATGAAACTCCTGTTAGGAGCATTAGGAGCTTTAGTATTAACGTTTCTAATGCTCCTATCCGTACATAGTTACATAGTAGCCCAAGCTTAGCTTCACATAGCTTTTGGTACAGTGAATTGTCGAGCAAGGCTATCAGCCTGCTAGCCTTGCTAGACCGGATAGCCATCTTATTGCACTGGAAGCTCCGGAAACCGCGACAGATTGGACTGGACCAGTGCATGGACCTGGAGCATTTGCAAGCCGAGGCGTCCCATCTCATAGACAGGATTTCGAAGATCACAGACTCCTGCAGCATCAAGGGACCGTATAGTATGGCGGCTGCTTAGATTCCGCGTAATACAATACCTGAAGTTAAATAATTGTGCATAACTACACCGCTACGTGTCCCTAAAAAGAGAACCCATGCATTTGTTTATGCAGGATTAATATGCTTGAAGATCAGCTGTCTGAAGAACAGATAGGTCTAGTTTGCCGGTAACGCAGGCAAAAAAACGATGACAACAATACTTCATATATTATGTTTGGTCTACCGCAGACCGCATGTACCGTAAGTACTTGGTAAACCATACCATCTACATATTTGTACACACATATCCTCCTCCAGGAAAATAAGCTTTACCATTAAAAATCTCTTGATGTAAGAGTACTGTATTATTTATGCAGCAGGTCGTTTTTGCTTGCCCTAACAGGACTTTCGCTTTTTGGACTCATATACCATAAAAGTCGAAGAAACAAAAAATTTGTTATTAAATTTTTCATACATTTTGCTACTGCGCGGCTTGGGATCGATATAAGACGTCTGCCGAGTCGTTGCAGCTAGGCATTATTAAAACTAATAGCAGTTTGCTCCCTTGTTTACGCGCATTTTGCGGCAGGTTCATTGAACCGTGACAGATTCTTATATGCGGTATACGACTAGAATCAGTCGTAGCATATAAGAAACTGTAGTTTCGGTTTTTGGTATTCGATATCCGTGTGTAAACAAAAATAATTTTTGGCGCCCGTAGAGTACGGAAGGGTCCGGCCGGTTGAAGGAAGCGGTGGGGCCTAACAGTCATGTGACATGAGTCATGTGACATGAGTCGAGTAACGATGCGTGAAACTTGTAGATGGCGTTGTTAGCTCGGCATCTTCTTTAGGTTACATTAGTGCATTAGCGCTGCAACTTGTATGTGTACAAATCACCCATACATACATACAACTAAGACGTTTTCGCAATTGCCATTGGCTGGCCCAGCCTACTTTTGCCTACCTGTATAGATGTATGCGTGATTTGTATACATACAAGTAAGAAACGCAAATGCACTATTATGTGCTCCTACATTCTGTAGGAGCACCTTGCAATGTGCTCGTACATTATGCAGGAGCACATTGCATCGGTTTCATCGGTTCTTGGAGGAGAAAAACGGAATTGTAGTATCCAAACAAACCTAATCCAATATGCTCCTGCAATGTGCTCCTACATATGTAGGAGCACATTGCAATGTGCTCCTATATATATGTGCTCCTACATATGTAGGAGCATATTACAATGTGCTCCTACATAATGTACGACTACATTGCAGGAGCATATTGTATGTGGAGATTATAAAGGGTAGGAATATAAAGTGCTGAATAGAGAATTTAATAATATAGTGAATTATATTAAAGGTGATATGTTTGACGAAAAGTGATAATGAAGAAAGGGTGTACTAATCCAGTGTAGCGAAGAAAGGGTCAACATTGAATTTGGGTGAAAGTAAAGGGATTTTTACTGTAGTATGGTATAAATATGTTCGACTTTCTGGCTGTTCGTATTTGAGTGTTTAATGAAGTGTTACAGAAGTGGAGTATGTTGTGGGTTGTAGATAGTGATGGATTATTGTGGAAAATTTAAGAAATTTCGAGAAAGTTGATTGCTTAATGGAGCAGACTATCGTGTTTTGCTCTGATAGTCTTGGATGTGTAGGAACAGGTGGTTTGTATATGGGAAGTAGGTTGGTAGGTACATTAAAAGGTTGTTCGAGAAAATGTATAGTTTAATTGGTTTGTTGACTGGATTTTTTGAGTTCGGTGGGTATATAAAAAGTTGAGGAATCTGTGTTTGAGTTATTATGGAGTGGACGAAGTATATTGAGTGAGCAAAATGTTTTTCTTGTTGGTTAGTTTTTGGTGGCTGGTGTGGATACTTACTGATTCAGGTTGCTGTCTTTTGTTTAGCTTTGGTAAGTCTTTTTAGGTTGAGTATGGTTTAGTAAAGTTTTCTTTTATACATTATTTTCGTTTAAGAATTCTTTTTTTAACAAAATAATGGAAGGTGGTTGTGATCGTAAGAAATACATGCGTGAGTATATGGGTGATTATAGAAAGAAATGCAAAATCGAAACTGATGGTAATTGTAGCAGGGAGGATAATGTAGGAAGTGGTGATTATCTTAGATATGAGAATGTAAAAGTTAAAAAACAAAAATGTAATCGGAATACTAAAGATGGTGCGTTTTCTGGTATGCTAGGAAAAAAATTATTGGACAATTTGTGTAAAGGCAACGTGCTAAACGACATTTGCGGAGTATGGTAATGTGTAATGGTTGTCCGGATCTTTTCTTAAGCATTACTTTACAATTTTGTTCTGAATTGTTGTGTTTTGCTGACCCTGTTAAGTTTACATTTTTGTTTTTTAACTTCACATTTTTATGTCTAACATCATCAATACTTCATTATCTTCCTTGCTACAATTACCATCAGTTTCCGTTTTGCGGTTTTTTTTCTATAATCACGCACATACTCACGCATGTATTTCTTGCGATCACAACCAGTTTCCATTATTTTATTTAAAAAAACAATACTTAAAAGAAACTATCTATGAAAGCAAACTTACTAAACTATACCCAACCTAAAAAGACCAAAGCCAAACAAAACACAACAACCTGAATCAGTACGCTTCCGAAAATCTAAACCGGCCACCAGAAAATAACCACAAGAAAAACATTCTCCTCACTGCATATACTCCGTCAAGTCCATAATAACTCAAACACAACGTTCCTCTACTTCTACTAATATACCCACTGAAATCAAAAAATCCAGTCAACAAACCAATTAAACCAAACATTCTCTCGAACAACCTTTTAATGTACATCCCAGCCTACATCCCATATACAAACCACCTGTTACTACACATCCAAGACTATCAGTGCAAAACATAATAGTTCGCTCCATTAAGCAATCAACTTTCTTAACTACACAAATTACGAGTACTACTACACAAATTACTACCACCAAAATGACTGTGTTAACCTATGGAAAGTTACAGACTAAACGCGCAATTTTCAGGGTCTCAACTGTAGTAAAGAAACTCGTGTCCTTCATACACTCACAAAATTCTTTCCCCTACTATTATTATTCCTGTTATACGAGTATACACAAATCCGAAATTATTTTAAATCCCAGTATTCCTCTTTCTTATCCCGTACCTGCCGCTACACAATCGAGAGATTGTCCACGCAGTGTATTTAAAAGATTCCGTTCTGATATACTCGTCCAGTACACCACCGAGTGGCACCGACACGTGGGCAGCGGAAGCTTTAAATCGTGGTAACTTCCGCCATCCTGAAAATTTTTGGTAACCGGTTTCCGAAATAAAATTTCTAGATTTTCTGTTTTCGAACCATCAAAATGATGTGAATATTTATTTTTTACAGTAAGTTTTAACATCTGTGGTTCTTCTTCGTACGAAGATTACAAAAATGATTGCAACTGCGTGTACAGTCAACTTTATCACGACTGTATACTGATCACAAATAATTATACGGTTACTTAAAGCACCGGCAGTAAATCATGCAGAATATTGCAGTTAGGCTAGAAGAATGTACAGTGGTACGAGTATAAATGATGCTGCGGATGAGAGAAAATTTAAATTTTTAACTTATGTGTATGTTGATTCGCTTTCCAGTAAGGCCGTAAGGGAACAAATACATTATACATATGTTTATTGTCTTCCGTATGAATACGTGGTAAAATTACAAAACATCAGAGGAGATCTTCCAAGCCACACAGCTGAGGCTTTGGATATGCATTAACTGGCGGCTAAGAAAATAAATTAACAAATGAAAATGTTTCCATTTGCAATTGTATCATATCAAACTGTGTGCGATGATTATACTATGAGAACAGCAGATGCTGAAAACCGTGACTGTCTGCCGATCAAGCGCGGAAACCGCCGGCACATACAGCAAACCCCATTTTGTTCAATGCAGTGCTATCTCTTCACACTGAATCGGCAGACCAGACGGCATTCAGCGCTGCTCAAATTCTCTAAACAAATAAGATTTGAGCTTTGTTACGTAACCGGTTATTAAAAGAAAACTGCAGGGCTGTTGTTGTCTTTTCTGGGCTTTTAAACAAATACCGGCTCAGCGGTTTCTGTATGCCAGGAAACTTCACGAGAACTCTTACAAACCCAGATAAATAAAGCGCACCTGGCCATTGCATAATACTTTTACATTTTTTAAGCGACGCACATCACGGTACAAGGGAATTTTTCTGCCTCCCTAAGCCAAGCCCGCTAATTTCTCGCCACTATTTTGCATGTCGTTACGGAACGCACAGAGTTAAATCGTTTAAAATTTTGCAATAATTATTCTACGTAATAATGGAACGGTGGAATGGAAAAGTGGCGTTGGTGACCGGTGCATCGCAGGGAATGGGAACGGCCATCTGCACCGAACTGGTCAAAAGCGGAATGATTGTGTATGGATGCGGCCGGAAATTGAACGCACTCGAGGTCAACCACCATTTATTTTTTAACTTACTGCCTGTTAGTGTTGATATGAAATACGGTAAAGGGATTTCTTAACAAATTTGTACAACTTTCAGGAAGTGGGAACGCGTTTGAAAGATTCGCCGGGCCAGTTCCATCCGATTCAATGTGATCTACGGGATGAGAAGTCCATTTTAAATGTGTTTCAAACCATCGATCGCCAGGCCGGGAAACTCCATGTCTTGGTTAATGTAGCCGGTGTACTAAAGAACTGCACATTGCTGAATGCGTCGACGGAAGACTGGCGTGAGATGATCGATGTACGTGTTAAGAAAAGTGTCTAGTTTGCCGTTTTTGACACCTGCTGAAAATTGCTTGACAGATATTGCTGCTGGCACCGGCGATTGCGTCTCGCGAAGCGGTTAAAATAATGAAGAAACACGGGATCAACGACGGGCATATTATTAACATTCTCTCGTAAGCTTTTTTAACTCTTTGCTTTAATGTAACAAAAAGTACTTAAGCTGCAATTAAATATTTGCAAACTACGAACATAATTTAAATAACAATTTCGGTAAAAATTAATAAAATTTATAAAGGTACCATGCCGTGCAATTAAAATGCAAAAAAAACTTTATCGAACGTTGCGGTAGTTTGTGTTTTAAATGTATAAACCAGTTCTAAAATAAAAATAACATAAAACTAAAATAATAAAATTATGTGTGATAAAAAAGTTGTTAGCAAAGCATATTTTATCATTATCGGCCAACCTAAATATTAATGTAATTTTTTCAGTATTGGAGTACATTCGTTTCCGCCGCTGCCTTTCCTAGCGTTTCCTTGCGCGATGAAATGCGCTTTACTGGCCATTAACAAAGGCTTGAGGAATGAACTACAGCTGCAAGAGCATACCGGGATTCGCGTTACGGTAACGTAGTTCAGATTATGATGAAAAAAAGAAATTCAACATAAGCCTTTATTGCAGTCCATTAGTCCCGGGATGACGGATACCAGTACATACGACACAATTACGGATGAGCATATTAATCGAGCACACCCTATGAAAGCACTGCAGGCCGGTGATATCGCGGCGGGAGTGAAGTATGTCCTCAGCACACCACCGGGATGTAATGTCTTCGATGTTGCCATGCAGCCAACCGGCGGCTTTTAATCGTTCGACTATGGTGTAGCTTTAATTACTTTACATACATAGTTAAATGTTGCATACATAATTAAATGTTTACATACATAATTAAATGTTAAAACCTCTTGCGCGGTATATCTTTGCATAAGCAACACTCAGCTGCAGGTGGCTTTAGCGGGCGGCTATTTGAGCAACGGCAGCTGCGGAAGTCGTGGGTATATTCAGAATAAATTAACGTTTACTATAGATAATAATTTATTATCTATACAGTTTTCGGAAGAAAAATTGGTATGGTCGAATGCAAAACATTTGTCCGGCGTGTAATTAGTATTTGAGATCATGCAACAAAAAGCGATTCCAAGGCAGAAAACACCGAAGTCACGGAAAATTTGCAAAAAACAATACTGAAGCGTTATCTACGGACTACGAGATCGGGGCTTATTTATTAATAATCAACGTACAGATCAGGTGGAAGAAAAATAAACACGTGATATTACTCACAACAGCAAAACTTCATTTAAACTATCCACTCCGTCCATCGTGCCAAGGATAGATGCTACATTTCCGCGCTGAATTTCCAGTGAAAGCCGTTGGCGCAGAAATTCATGCGATCGACGCTCTCCCGTGTGCTGCTGCAGTCTTTTGCCCAACTCTTTTACAATGGCGATAGCCGACGGGCCCCAGGGTCCCATCGTCTCGAAGGCGATCGGAAAAAAGATGTAGCGCCCTTGTAAATATGCATAAAGTCGAGATTTCTTTTCTTCTGCTACGAGTATATCTCTTCGAACAGGTTAGAACAAATTTCCATTAAAAAATGCCGCGGAACGTAAACAGCAATAGAGATATAAGACGTCTGACATTTCAATTTGATCCGTACGGAAAGGGGCTTTTTAACTGGCTGAATTTTCGGCTTAATTCCTCGGAAGCTGATACTGGTGGAGCGGGGCGTTCCAGATTTACAAAATACTGTAGACAAAACATAACACCAATAACAACAAAAACCAAGAGCAATACGGCGGAGGCAGCGGTCCAGGACTGTGATGATGCGGCAGGCGGGAAAAATGTTGCTGGAATGGCATTTTCATTACCGCCTGCACTTCCTCGAAAATGAACAGGTTGTTCCCGATCAAATGCCCATGACAGCTCTTCGTTATCTCCGTACCCGACTTGCTCGATTTCATTGTTCTCGCGTGACGCAGACCGTGAATGTCTAGTGCGCCGGTTCTCCCGCTCCCAAATAAGTTAGTCAAAATCTACTTTACTAAATGGTATGGCATCGTCATGGACAAAGAACCAACTACCACACCGGCATTTCTCGGGAAACCAGGTGTGATAATCCCCGCCTTGAGGCAGCAGTCTTTTGTACTGCGGTACCTGTGCCGCTCCGCGTAAAATTCCGGCTCCCATAACAGTCACACCGCTGCGGACTGCACGTGCCGGAAATTCTTTATCTTCGGTCACCAGCCAAACCTCCCCGGCAGCCTGGTGGCGCAGATACAGGGCGTAGACCAGGATGAGACCATCGCTCGGGGAGCGGTAAGGGCCGTGCTTCGGAAGATAAAAGACGCGCTGCAAATAATCGGCAACGCGTTTGTCCTGGAAACGTACTCTGATGTGCCGCTGTTTAAATTGCGCCAGGTAATCATCTTTTTTTATGGCTTTCCTCCGTTTCTCGTTTCTCTTTATCTTTACCGTTTCGCAACCCATGGAGTTCTTCAGAAACTTTATGGTGAATTATCAGCAGAACAAAGTTTGGCAGCGTGGAACGCTTGCCATCCGCAATTTCTTGGAAAATCTTCAGCCCAGCGGGCTCCAGTAAGGTGCGAGTATCGAAAACCAGTTTTAGACTGCTCACCTCTATTATACGCTCCATAGCGAAATATTAGCAACGGCTGCAAGTACTTAAAACTCGGAACCTCCGATCCACGGGTAAAGGAACACTGGAAATAAGCTTACTCAATCAAACAAACCAAAACTGCCCTTGCAATGCAAAACAAAGCCGAGCAGACAGATAAGGTATCTTAAATCTTCACAACAACCAGGAATAATGACAATAAAAATCCAGGAAAATAGGTACCTGTATCATATCGGAGCGGTAAGTTGATGCTCCCGATAAAGACTGCAGGAGAGGTACGAGGATGCGCGCAGTCGAACCGACAGGTTAGGACCGTACACTGCACTTAATACACCGTCAACTGTACTGTGTGAAAATATGAGAAACATAATAGACAATCTTTAAGCTCCAACCGCGGGAATTGTCGGAGCATTTGCTAATGTCTTTTTGCCGAAATGCATCGTTTCATCGGTCGGACTATCCGTGACGCTACCAAGGGGCATCTCCATTAACGGCGTTTTTGAGACAGTGCTTCAGTTGAGCAGTAGTAAGAGAAACTGCGACAGCCCGTCTCGCAACGCTGAAAACGCATCCCTAACATCACGAATAACGGTTGTAGTGGTTAACGTTGCCCACTGATTATGTGCTGCATTTCACGTTTCTCAGATCACAGAATTTGATTTACAGATACCTTCTAACCTAACCCCCGGAAACATTGTTGGAGATTGCTGATGTATGTAGGTGTGTACAGTATGTACAGTATTCAACATGGAATCATTATTACCAGAGAGGTCGTCGTAATTTTGCCGGTCACACATGTCACAGCAAAAGCATTTTGGATTGTTTTTTTTCGTCATTATCAACCTTTTTCTGCACATTGCCAGTAAGATTGCAGACTGCAGCTATAAGCTATCAACAGTAGCGATACTTTATATCATTCTATGTTGTGTTCTGTTATCAACTACACAAAACGCGTCCCACTGGCTCAACTTCTGTCTCAGTTCAATATAAAATCCCATACCAGTAGGCTGTAGCTGTGTTCCGTGGATCCTATTGCCACTTTAGAATTGTCTGCGTTAGAACAGCGTTTTTATATTTTTAAAGGTAGCTGATCCTTAATTGCTCAGTATTTTTTTTATGTTGCTCAGTAATTTGTAACTAACTAGCATAACAGTCTGTCACTTGCTCGTCCGCTCCCCCTCCTCCGCGGTGCATTACGCAAACAAAGTAATAAATTAATAATGAAATTTTGCTCAACTTATTAAGTTATGGAAATGGCTGTGCGTCCCGAATGGTCGGGGTGCAGAAATATCAGAATTTGTTTGCTGTTCCGGCAGTTGATCGGGTTTTACTTATTTGTTTTACTCGATTAAACCCAAGGTTGCAGGAGAGCATAAGTTGAGAGAGCTGCAGAATTCGAAGACTCTTAATAGCTCAGTGGTACCTTTCGCTATGTTCATCCCCTTTTTATTGCCTGGTTTATCGGAAAGGTTGTTCGAAACATCCCGGAATCGAGAGATCCTGATTTTCAGCAACTTTACAGCAAGCAAATAACAGTGTTTTATCAGGTTCGGTGCGTAACAGTTGTTAGAGGTCATTAGGACGGCACGAAAGTCCATTTCATTACTATGCACAAAACTGCAGCAAATGCAAATAAATTCACAGGTTAAGGCTGTCCTGCTTTCATGCGCGTTCAAACCTGTACGGGTGTAGCGGTTGAAAGCCGAAACTGAATTGATTATTACTGATACTCTTCAGGATTAATATTTACAACAAAGTTAGCAACTTTCCCATTGCTTCCCCAGATTTTTTTTGGAGAGCGCATATAACAAAAGCTTTGGGTGCAGTCTGGTGTCTTTCATCATCAAACAATATACAGTAGCATACTGAAAATACTACAGGAATCATTGTTCTACCTGATCATTTATGATAGCGCGCGTATCTTCTGGTTTTCTTATACAAACATTTGCTGCCGCTGATAATCTCGTGGCTTGTGGTAAGCAAGCTTGCCATCCCCCCAGAATAGAGATATCTCCTCTTCTGCGCAGTATTAGAACCTTGTAAAAGATTGCTGTTTTTAAAATAGGTAGCTGTACAGCTACCTATTTTTAAAAACAGCAATCTACAGCAACAAACACATGTGTCAGCCTGTGTGCAATTTTTTAATAAAAGCTTGATTCACATCAGTAGATAGAGCAATGAATTCTCTACGATTCCTCTATAATTTAAAAGGTGTAATGTGAGTAGAAATTCACCTTAAATCTACGCTAGTCGCTACGTAAGCTGTTCCTATAGCCAGCTTCTTTTCGGTCTTATAGTGCTGGAGCCTAAAGCGGTGCAATTCCCTAGATTTATCGGTTAAAAATAAATAGAAAAAAGAAGCCAAAAAAAATATAAAAAAATCTTAGGAAAAACAAACAATCACCGATATTACTGCGCCCGGAAATCCAAGGGGCGCAAAGCAAAATTCTGTGCGCCCGGTTTGTTGGGGCGCATAGCCGTCACCATAAGTTATTTGTATGGTATTCTTACCGTATATTCCAAAATCATTATTTTACCGCAAACTTAATTGCTTTTTGACCATTCCTTTCAAACCGGGGCTTCCTAATTAAATGCAGTTTCCAGCAAATGAAGAGGTGAGAATTACAGTGCAAAGAACACTGCAGCATATATTTAAAGCACGCGGCTTTTCCGCAAGCCCGCTGTGCGGTACATCTTGTGCGGTGCTATAATATACCGCAACTGTAGCGAAAATCTGGCGTAAATCGCGCTGCGGTCTACCAGTGCACGCCAACGTGCATTTTTCTAGCTAGAGTAGTATTATATCCACAGCTGTATAGCGCTATGCATACCAGTATAATTATGTGTTGTGAGGAAAGAAGCGGCTCACGTACAGCAATAAAGTCTTTCAAAAGATTTTCAACGTATTGCGCCGTGGTGCAGTGCTACTGCCTACGCGGATCTAACGACGTAGCCGGGGTTCGATTTCCCCATCGGCGCCTTTTTCAGCCGTTTCTCGGTTTCCAGTGGATAGGGCCCTGGTTTGAGTGGGATATTGCATAGCATTCCAGTTAGTACTTTGAATTCCACTTAGTAACCAGAGCTTTACACCATTTTTATTGTTGAGAGCTTGGTCATTCTTTGTACTTCTATATTATTTTGTAAGCACAAACACGCCAGATTATGTCAATGGGCGTCGTAAATGTGATAGCGTATAACGTGTTGCAGCTCCCTTCCAACGAAAGACACTTTTTGTTCCCGGATGCAGCACTTTGTCTGCATATGTGTTGATTCCGTGACATTTCCGTGTTTAATCAACTCTTGGCTGGCTGGCTGTTGCTGACTCAACAGGAAGCAAATTTTCACTACATGAAGGAAATTCTTTGTCACTGTGCCAGACTGCCGCAGTAGAAAATGTATTATGCCACGCATTGTGTAACTGGTCTCAGAATCATGAACATTATTATCACGAAGCAGGTGCTGTCTTCCGGCTTACTGCTGAAGTAATGAAGAAAACCTTCGCTTACCATTAAGAGCGAGCTATTTTCTGGGAAGTCAAGGCATCAAAATGCTGCCTCATGGCAGTTTTCATTGGTAATGACAAGCCAAGCAACACATACAATGCAACTGATGACAAATTGACATGCCAGTTCCGCTTAATAAGCAGCGAATGTTGTCGCGGCAAAGACAGCGTACGACAAAGAAGCGGAAACGATGTACTCGAATCTGTATTTAAAGCCCACGATATCAACAGACTCAATACTGTACTGTAATTTATAATTCACAACTCGCACAGTATCATTATTAACTGAGCCAGTGGTGAATACACAATCAGTCTAATTATTTAGTAAGCAAAATGAATTTCTTGACGGTGGTGCTGGTGGTCGGGATAATTACAATTATCATTCCGGAATCCACTACGACAGCAACCGATGCCATGATTAGCGCCAAATCCAATAGCACGGGGGCATGTCCTCCGAATTCCAGCAGCGCATGCAGCAGCATCAGTGCCACCAACAGTACCGGGAATGCAGCCAGCAGGCCTGCTGTCATGCCTCGGAGAGCTATACCAGGAGGAGGAGGATAGTCAATGTACTGCAAAGACAAACCGAAAGTGTTATGGTCATTACTGCCGATTCATAAGGAAATGCATTATGGACCACTTGTAATGCCAGATAATAATGGTTGAGAATTTTACTTATGACTAGACAGCGCTCATGGTGGCGTTGCGCTTGTCTATGGCGCTGCCGCCGCTCTGCTCCTGGGACATAGAATAAAGTACGCCGTACGCTGATCCCGTTAGTGTTACAAACTGCAACCCAGAAACGAAAACTTCTATAGTAGTACACTAGTACATATTTGCAGAATAGACGGTGTCTAAGAAATCTGACCAGTTCGGCACGTCAGGCTGCAGTCTACTCAATAGTCATACTTCTGTTAGTAGCAGACAAGAAAGCCTCTCTGGGATCATTTAGTTTGACTGTTCGGCCTTACCGCAAACGCCCTGGCTGATGTCAGCTGGACCAGGCCCAGCAGGACGAAGTAGTACGATCGTTCTTTGGAGTAGCTAACTGCAGCGCAGATCAGTCGTGCGATGTCTTGCCGGGTCTGTACAGAGCAATACCGGTGCGAGGTTAAATCACTGCGAGGTTAACGCGCTGTGGTTAGAATATCGATACTAATTACCTGTGGGTCATGTATTGCGCTGGGGGCAAAGAGGATATTGAACGCCAATTCCTCGATATCTTTCCATAACTGCGCAATTTCCACACCCTGAATAAAGAAATGAAAAATCTGTTCTGAGTAGTTATGACAAGAAAAATAATTATAGTTATTGATTTTATTAGTATCACCTATCGTAATAAATCGTGCAACATACCGTTTAAATTTGTTTATATTGCTTCTGAAAAATTTCAAGCACTTTGTGAAGGGCACTCCTAGTTTAATCAGGAAAATAAAAAACCGGAAGGACATCGGTTCGTGGAGTTCATTACTTCGGGTGTTTCATTTAAACGAAAGTACGAGTCCCTATCGTAAAAGTAATGAAATTCGGAATACTATGTTTCTAATATTACCTACACTGCAGCTATCTGCATGACTATACTTCAGTATTAACATTATTTATTATTAATTTTCTGAGCTGCCGGCATGTTTACACTGTACATCAAATACAAGCCCTCGCATACACGACGTGCAGCTACAGAGTCTGTACTGACTGACTGAGCGTGATGGGCTTAAGGAAAACGGCCCGGTACATAACTTCAAAAAAGGGATGCATACAATAGACCTTTCGAACGCACTTCGAATCACTTTTTTTGTAAAACTTTATGTAATTCTAAAGCTAAATGATTTGTATACATTGTTCTGAAAACCGTTTGTAAGTGCAACATCCGGTTGCCGAGATATGGCGTACTCAAAATAGGAGAAAAGTTTAAGTGCATTGTTGTGTACCAAAAGTCTGGTTACTACCGGATCTTCTTGAAACTTTGCTATAAAGGCACATGGCGCTAACGTCGAAAGTGAACCAATATCAGATCCACTGCATTTTCCCCCGATTTTAAATTGAAAAATTTTGAATTCATTTTAAAATTATGGAAAATTGTACAATACACGACACGTGTGATGTATACACTATACTTGCGGCTTACCATCTGCAGCGGTTGCAGCGCCGCATATGTGACCAGGAGAAAATGCACAGCGTAGTGGGCCGCGTTAGCCCAGAAGATTGCGGTCGTTCGGGCGTCAGTGAAGTTTTCCGTGAAGGAATGACCCAAATACGCCAACACTATCAACCAGTCCAGGAGCAGCCAGGCAGCGAGCACGAAGGACCACACGCGGTGGATTTCCTGAAAAATCGGTCCTAGTTTCCTCTCATGCTGATAGCAGTCCTGGACCGTGGCGTATATCGTCTGCGGGACGAACGGTCGGCCGGGGTCCAGATCACGTTTGAGCTGTGTCAACTTGCGCACCAGCGGCTGCACCCATGTGGCTTGAAAATGCATGATAATGCCGACGAAGCAACCGGCACTGCATGTGGATAACACGTCAACAAGGGGAATTATCGGCGTTAAAATAATAATCATGTGTTTTTCACTGACTGGCCAGTGGATAAACGGAACCGAGAGATTCGTTGGCGGTACGTTGACGGCGTATCGGGTGGAGGCGTAGGTTTGAATTATCGTGTGCACCACGAGGAACCCCATACCGGCACCGCTCACCACATTCAGGGATCGCGACACACGACGAGCGGCTGACTCCTGACGCCATTGCGTAACACTCTGCAGTATGGTGGTCCCCCGCAGCCAGGAAGCTACGACGTCCAGTCCACCCAGGAGGCAATAAAAAATGGTCTCACAATTCGTTACCACGATGACCAGCCAGGGAACCTTGACACCGGGATCTTTGACATGGCTGAGCGGCTCGTCGCCCATGCTCTTGATCCCGTCCACGAAGTTACTGCCCAGATACAGCAGCATTCCCGCGCCCAGTACAAAACCCAACAGGTTGATGACCACATGCGCCAGGAAGCGCCACCACGGCGGTTGGCATGTGCGGACGATGGGCAGCATGAGGATGAGCAGGAGCGGGCTGTATGCGAGCAGCCACAACCAACCTGCTTGAAGGAGTCTTTTGCAGCGGTCTGGGAAGGCCAGCAGCCACCTGGCCATAGAAAGTAAATTGACATTATCAATTCCCAACGTTTCACATTTCAAACGGCAAATCCGACCAGTGTAAAATCACAACGCGGCTACGCTACGCGCCTTTGAAAAACGTTGGAAATGGAAAATTTAATTTTTGTTTATTGATCCTTCAATCAATGCAAATGCAAATCAGATGCAATTTAATCAGGCACAGTGGAGTAGCAATAAAAATTTAAATATGAGCCGCGGTATCAGTAACCACATAATTATCAGGCAGCAGTGATTATTGAAATTCATTCACCACAGTCTTAATCGTTTAGCAACGGCTTGCGCGCATTAATGTTGTTTCATCTAATTTCTTCTATTTTCACTTCAGATTACGAAACAGCTACAAAAACGGCTCGACAGTGTCTGAATTTTTATCTTACCTGGTCGTGGACAATTTGCAACGAGAGAAGAACGATTCTGGTGCAACGTTGGAAGGAGGCGTTGCCGGTACGCGGTGAAAATGGCCGAGGTCATCCGCCTGTCCGGCTTCGATGATCCCGGCGTACTGAAACGTCGATACGTTTCGATCCACGGGAGCGCCGTGACGTCGCCGTAGGCCAGCAACAGACATCTCGATGCCGGACGCTCGACTAGCCATAATGTCAGGGAATAAAGTGCGGTTAGACAGTACGAAAAGCCAGTGAACGCTGAGTTCCCTGTCGCCGCTTGCTTCCCTGCCGATTTATATCCCTTCACTGCTCCTCCATACTGCCTAAACAGGATTGACGCAGGAGCTCCCATTAGATTTCCAGCGAGCAAACAAGGATGCCGGGATGCTGCAACATAATATATTGCAGTTTTTCTGGTTGCTGCGCGGATCTGTCACCACTTAATGGATCAAACTACTGTTAAACAGTACCGTGTATCCGCGTCATTCGGGCTGTTAAAATATTTTTCCCGGTAGCAGCGAACCCTGGAAGCACTGGAGCGCAACCCCGTGCAAATTTTACGCACCTGTATCTTCTCCGCAGTTTCCTCTCCAGAGCATGGTTTTTTCGTATATTAAATAGGCGACGCTAATGCACCGACCGGCGATGGTGTTGATGTGTCATGATCATGTGCCACACAGCGACGCCAGTGGCCGCTCTACCGCTCGCTAAGGTCAACAACAGGGGATTTCCGCAACACGATGCCAGCATTCACTTTCGGCTTTGTTTGATTAGGTAGCGAACTCTTCCCTTTCGCGCTGCTGTTGACAGTTCGACTCCGGTGTGCTCTGTTGATTTAGCAGCGTTCAGTATTAGCAGCCTCCTGCCGGTGACCTTTTCTCGATTTCCACACACTGGCTGTTATATGGCCTGCAGAAAAGTTGATAAAATAAATAAAAGGCAAACTCATCAGTAACAGAGAAATCGTTTTAACGGTCATCTGTGTAGTGCGTACATATTCTAGATAACCAGATTCCACAAGCTCCACATTATACCAGTTCCAGTTAGACTTATTCCACGTTATAAAAATCACTTTTTAAAGAATTTTAACATTATTATTATAACTGATGGGAATTCCCAGACATTTTCTTGCACTGTTTAATGCACTTGCACCATTGGCAAATGGCTTGTATACATTGGCGTGAAAATCGTTTGTGCGCTCAACTTCCGGTTGAATACAATTCCCACCTTTAAATGTAGCAGAAGCCGCATTATCAACCGATCTTATTCAAATAGCACATAAAGACGCATATTTGCACGGAGATTTATGATACTCCAAAGAAGACTCCCGCCATGTTTTTTTCAACCTATAACTGTCAAAATTCTTAAATTCATTTCATTCAGTTCATGATAAAGTCAGGTAAATGATGTACCGGGTGGCTCAGCAAAATGGCGGGCTAGGTTTTCATTGTGAACTGGTCCCGCCCAACGTCCGATTGACTTCATATTAGTTTCATTCGAAAGAGCAATTCCTCAAACATAGAACTGCTTAATCATATTAACCGTAAACAAAGATTTAACGTTTTAGTGAATTATTTTAATAAAATAGATGGAATTTGACGGTGACAGAATCGAAAATTTGAATTTCCCTTTTAGCAAATTAAAATTTGCTGTTATTCAGCTTGGAAGATTAAAATCTGTCGCCTTGATATTTCAGATAGAGTAATTGTTTCATGTTTTTTTACTGTAAACAGATACGATATTTCGGTCAGCGCGTTCGGTCCAGAAACTGGAAAGCTGGAGCGCCGGACATTTAATTTTCGTGAAATCCTCCGCCAGCATTTTCAGAAATCAGTTTCTCACCAACGCTGCAAAAGTGGATCTAAATCAAATTTACTTTTATAAGAGCAATATCTTAGCGACAAAAACAGCTAAATTAGCCTGTTTTGGTGCAGCCTTCCATACAGAAAAAAAATATTTGTAAAAATGCTCAAAAATTAATAAAAAAAATCGGCATTCTTTCCAAAAGTGAATCGAGTGCATTGCTCTTCCATTGCAAGCAATATGGAAACCAATTTTTGTATGCTGATAGAGTACGTCATTCTCTACATGAAACAGTTAAAAAAATTAAAATAGTTCATATGGACACAAAATGAATGACACAAAATGAATATTTGCTAATTCCTTCACTATTAATTTTGCTTTTCCAAATCTTCCGTCATTACTTTTACTTTTTACTATTCCTCAGTAACCGTACCTACTTTTTACTTACTTAGTACTTGATAGACAAACAGTAATAAATGTGCTCTTCGTATTTAAATTTGGAGATGAACCGCAGCACGCAGCACATTCTATAAAATGTAATATTCTGTATTTACACAGAGCGGCAAGTACCAAAATCATTACGTAAACTATCATTGAGTTTCATAGTACGCAGACATTCAGATATTTCGATAAGAATATTTATTTTCATAGAAACGATTTTTGTTTTTGGGTAATGCTACCTTCTTTGACAAATCGACATATACATGACGTACCGGTGTTAATCACGCCACTCGCGCAAATACTGTAGTCGTCAATAGCATCTGCGCTGCAGCAAAATTTTATTTACCATTTACTTTTCACGGCGCAACTGCACTTACTTTTACGTACCATTTACTTTCCTGTTTTGCGGTCTACTTACTTTTTACTGAATTAGTAAACCACAAAAACGGCTTCGGGCTTACTACGTACTTATATGTGAGGTTTACTGTTTGCTGTTACAAATCAAACAACACTGCTAACAAAGTATTGCGATGACTTGCGTTACGTTGCTTAACCGCAATGGAATAATCGTTTGCTTTCTGACAATTTATTTTGCTGACCCACACATTACTATTTTACGCAACCTCGCGACCCACAGACTGTTGACCAACAGTTCGGTTTTTTGTAAATTTTGCTGCCCGACCATCTTGTTGAACCTATTTTATAGACATTCAGCTTGCGTATCGGTTTGGTTTTAGGTTTTTTCTCATCTCATAATTTTTTCTTTGATTTTAAAGATATTTAGCCTCTTCGTGTTTTAAGGCCATTAGGCTCTCTCACGTTTCTTAGGTTGCTGTACTTTCTTAGCTTTCGTAGTACTGTACTGTTCTTAGGTTTTCTTACGTTGTCTTATGTTTTCTTATGATTTTAAAATTTTTGTTTTACGAAATGGCTGTGCGCCCCGACAAACGGCTACCGATCACTTCGGCCGTTTTCATTTCGGCCGCGCTCATTTCGGCCGAAGTTTTTCGGCCGCCACTCACTTCGGCCGCCATTCATTTCGGCCGTCATTCATTTCGGCCACAATTCACTTCGGGTAAAGTACGTTTCGGCGAAAATAGGCCTTGCCTAAACTTTTATTCTGTTCTGCAGGGTAAAAATAACTGAATAATTATCGGTAGCACGAACTTTTCTTCTATTTCTACTTCATCTTGCACGCACCATTTTTCAAACAATTTTGGAAGTGCTGCTGTCACCAATGCACCATCATGTCTCTCTTTTCCAAGTGTTCTTATTAACAGATCGTCGACCGTCATAAGATCGATCACACGAAGACTAACGTCCCGGGTGAGTTAACCGCACGACACCCAGAAAAACATAAAAAAAGGTAAAGAAATTATCAGATCTTAAATCTTCTGAGAATAACCTAAGAATAAATACGAAAACCTAAGAAAGCCAAATATATAAGTTCATAACCTAAGAAACATAAGAAAACATAAGAAAACCTAAGAAACTCAAGAAACCCAAGAAACCCAGGAAACCCAAGAAACCCAAGAAACCTAAGAAACCTAAGAATCCGAAGAAACCATACAAACTTAAACAACATAAGAAAACCTAAGAAACCTAGGAAACCATAACAAACCTAAGAACCCTAAGAAAACGTAAGAAAACCTAAGAAAACAGAAGAAGACCTAAGAAAACCTACGGAACCTAAGAGAGCCTAAGATGGCCGACATATCCAGTTGCCGAAATGAGCGTTGGCCGAAATGAGTGTTGGCCGAAATGAGTGTTGGCCGAAGTGAGCCACGGCCGAAATGAACGTTGGCCTAAATGAACCTGTGCGGCCGAAATGTAACGCAGCCGAAGTGATCGGACGCGAACCGCTTCGGCCAGGCGACGGAAGGTCGCGCGGCGTAAAGTCCTACCGACGAAATGTCCAGTGACGAAACGTTGCGCGGCGAGATGGCCTTGCGGTGAAATGTCTGCGACCAAAAGTCCTGCGTCTATTGGTCCGCGGCGAAATGTCGCGGTGCCCATTATTCATGTGATAAGAGTCATGTTGATGTGGAGCCTCGATGCTTTCAACCGATGGGCATCGTGTGCAGTTAGTACGCTGGGCGGTCTCTCGTTCTCGCACAAGACGGTCAAAAGTTTTTTTTACAATCCTGGTATTCAAACCGGAAAAGCGTATGGCATCATCATGAGAAACTCTCATGCTGACAGACGGGTCTTCCTCATAGATTCAGGTATGTCGGTATGATAATCCCTTCCACGAGGGTTCAGACTATCGTAGGGTCGCAGTTTTACCGCGTGCTTTAAAACGCCTGCTCCCATGGCACCCAGTCCGCTGCGAACGGCCCGAGCCTGTGATTCTTTATCTTCGCTTATCAGCCAGACTTCACTGGTGGCTGTGTGGCGCAGATACATGGCGTAAACCAATATAACACCATCGTTAAGTGAGCGGTATCGGCCATTTTCCTTAGGATAAAGACCGGAGTGACTATTTTGCCGCAGTGTGCGGCAAAATAGCCAACCAGCTATAGTGCCGCATATTGTTCTTACTGCGGCAAAATAGCCTTAGCCAATTTTTTATCTTCGCTTATGAGCCAGACTTCGCAGGCGGCTGTGTGGCGCAGGTGCAAGGCGTAGACCAATATAACATTATCGTTAGGCGAGTTATATGGGCCATGTTGCGGAGGATAGAAGACCCACTGCAAATAATTGGCTAGGTACTCGCTCTGGAAATACACACGGCTAGGCTTATGGATAAGTGACGCAAGGTAATTTAATGCTTCTGTGGCCTTCATCCGTTTCTCCTCGTTTGTAGAGCACTGCAGTCCGTGGAGTTCCTCTTTCACTTTATAAGGAACTATTAGTAGCACATCTTGTGGCAGGGTGATAACTTTTCTTTCCACAATATCTTGAAATACCATAAGGCCAGCGGACTTCAGCAGTGTGCTCGTATCGACAACCAGCTTTAGACTACCTTTCTCCATGATGTAACTTTAACGATGACTGCAATATTTACAACAGATATCAGGGTCGGGACTGCTGCAGACGATTTAACATTGTGCGTTTTCCTGCCTAGAGATTCTTTGTGTCTGACTCACGTAATGTGCGTACATACACCGACTGTATATTAAAGCCCTCAGGGCCATTTTGCTGTACTTCAGTATATATAATCAGATAATATTGCGATCCTGACACGTCATACACATGTACAGTGTAGCTGCTAGCTTACTTTGGTGGTGCACACATGGATAATTATTTTAAATTTTTATATGTACATACATGCAGCCGTCGCAGCGCAGCCGGCTTAACAGCAGTACACACTACGGAAATTTTAATGCAAGTAATAGCACAACTACAATTTTCAAAGCAGTTCTACAACAACTCACACTTTTAAGCACTG